TCCCCCCCTTTCCCTCCCTCCCAGGCTGTGCTCCGAGCTGCCCGGATCAATGGGGTATAGTAGAAACCGCACACGTTGGCAGCTTTGCGGGGGGAGACTATAGCACTAGTGGTGATGGGAGAGAGGAGGGAGGGGAGGGGAGGGGGGGCTGCGTGGAGAAGAGCCCACCCTGCTGCTGGCACCCCAATCTCTTCTGCTCCTCTCCGCAGACCTGTCGACTCGCTGCAACAATGGCTTTGACAATGACACTGGAGGAAGAATTTCCGCTATAGTCACCCCCCTCTCCCCTCTCTCCCCCCACACACACCCTTACCCCATCTTTCGGCGCATTGAACCCAGTGGTGCCACGATGAATGGCCTGCTAATAGCTTTCATTTGTTACAATTATCATAATTAAACATATGTCAGGAGCAGACAAAGGGAACGCAGAGATTTCTGTGTTAGCACCGGACGGAGGCATGCTAAATATGGGGATGGGTTTTTGTTATGGCACAATTAGCCCAGATTGAGTCAAATATTGTAATCATACAGCATATTTAGAGTCACTAATTATGGAAGTTTTTTTAACCAGCTCATCAGCCGAGTTGGGTTTGCTTAATGTGTGTATGCGTGCGTTTGTGTGTGTGTGTGGGATTGTATATGTCCTCGCTACATCAGTCTGTTTGATAGAGGAGTTTAATGACCGCCCGCTGTGCTCTGTGAGAATGGCTGTAGGGCCCTCTTAACATTTTTGTAATACCAGCCTCCTCCTCCTCCTGTCCTTGCAGTCTCCTGGACCAATCTCTGCTGTTCCTTTGACATGAATTAGATGCTTGGCTGTTGCAAAAAGGCCTATCTCTCCTTCCCCTGTATACAATCCTGTCTCGTTCCCTTCACGATTCCTAACTCTTTTCCCCTGTGAGCTGTTATTCTATTTCCCTGTCCCTCGCTTGGCATTGTGGGCACTTCTGGATTGGAGGTTGCCAAGGGGCCTTGCAAGGAGTCACCATTTTGTGTTGTTATGGTGCAAGGTCTTCCAATCACTATGGAAGTGTTTTCAATATGACATTTTGAACTCATCAGAAATTAACAAAAGACAATAGACAGCAGGGTATGATTTTTCAACTATTCCTACATCTTATAAGAACTTTTCTATTCTTAGTTTGATTCAAGGTTGAGGAATTACTTGAGATATCTTCAAAATGTTCAAAGAAGGTAAAAAAATGAAAAGCATGCTGGGAGATACTCTCATTTTACTTTCTTGTTTATAATTTTGTGTGAATTCTTGAATTGTAATGTAGTATAATTCATGTATTTACTAGCAATAGCAGCTTATACAGTCTCTCATATATGCAATTATATGTATCTGTGTTGTAAATACAATCCTAAACTTGCGCTATTGCACTACTGGTTAGATGCTAAACTGCATTCCGTTGCATTGTTCTGACTTTGTAATGACAATATAGTTGAATCTAATCCAGAATACACAGTACTTTATACTCTTTATATAATGTTAAATTTTTACATCTATCATTATTTTCAAGATAGAGTTTTTATACTTATTATAGATGCTAGAGTTAGAGATTTTGCTTTATTTTAATTAGGACAGCTACTGTTCAGGCAACGTGTGCTGTGTGCTCCTCTTTCCTACTGTTCTATTACTTGTGATGCAAAAATGAAATTTCCCCACTGTGGGACAAATAAACGATCTCGTAATCCTAATCTCTTAATCTAATTGAACTTTTTCCCATTAAACCTATACAATCACCTATAGGGCAATGGTGTATTTTAAACACAATTTACACTAAATATATATTATTTATATAAAGTAAACCATTGTATACTTTATTTTTACAAAAGACTTGAAAGAGTTTGAATGGATGGATGTGTTCATGCTGCTACTGGACGCCTGAATTTTATGGGGATCAATCAAGTATATCTATCTATCTATCTATCTATCTATCTATCTATCTATCTATCTATCTATCCATATCACGTGCAGGTTAGGAAAAGTCAGTTAAAAGACCATAAACCTCTTCATGAGTTTCAGGGCATCTTCCTGATTCAAGCAGGATTTAATCATTTTGTTTCTGTTATTAATTGCTCAGACCTTTCCAAACTCACATTGAAGGCAAGATGTTTGTACTTAATTTGAATAGTTTGATCTGTTGCCATGAAACCAATGAAAAAAACTGTTCTATGCGTGTTATGCACATACCTTTTGCCACGATGATGAACGTATTTTGAAGTATTTGCAGCTCTTTCTTTACACTTTCTCAAAGACATGTGTGGACTCCCTGCCTCAGACGCCTAAACGAGGGAAGACAAAATAAAATAAGAATTAATGCCAGGATGTTGGAACAGAAAAGGTCAATATAGCATAGAGCTGTTGGCCTCCTGCTGGGACCAGACCAGGGATCAGGACTCAACCTGACCTCAGCCCTCCTCCTACTCTCAGCTCAGGCCACACATTCATTATTTCACCCACATACTGAAGCACAACCACTGACTTGAGAAATACTTCAAACTTCATCTCTCCAGCCATTTGCATTTTATAGAACGCATGCTTGAAGGCAGTGAAATGTGTTTTTTTGAAAATAAATTCCCGCCCAACAACAGATAAACACCAAACCTGCTGACCCTGGTTTTATCATCACTGGTAGATAACAGCTCGGATGACCTTGGCGCTGGCAGCAAGGACAAAATGCGTTGACAAAATGTTTTCGCAAAAGCCCACACACGAGCCACAAGTGGGAATTCCATGGACAATCTTTAACAAAGTAAATTGAATAAAAAATAAAGAAACATTCGTCTTATTTGCCTTGTACAGTATACGCATGTCTCTCGTCTTCACCCAGATCTCTCAGTAGAATAAAAGCATTTTGGAAGCGTATGCAAGGTGGTTGTCAATGACCGAAAGCTTTTGGAACGTCTCCAGACGCAGGTGAACAATTGCGAGCTGTCTGTGCGCAAGGATGAGGTGTGACCAACATGTTTCTTCTTCTTCAACTAAATCCTTTAACTCACCGATCGTCATTTAGCCAATAAGTTGTCTATGATTCAAACGCAGCCTCCATAATGCTTTATGATTAGACAATGCGTAATTGTTTTCCACATACAACAGAAAATGTGCAAACACGCGCACTAATGACGCACATGCACAATACCATGTCAAATACAGACGCAGTCATTTTTGGTGGATTTAAAATCACCCTGTCTGCTACATACCTCAGATCACATTAATTAGACACAGGGATTGCCTTTGAGTGGTAAGATTTTCCAAATGAGCGTGTGCGTCTCATACACAATCCTCTTTACCGTCAGAAGCGGACTAAATGACAGATAATTTGTATTTTGGGTATCTGGTTTACTAAACACAGAATGATTGCAGACAAAAATGCGCTCGGCGGTGTATAGCCTACATACAGTGTATCTGGGAACGCTTCTAAACATATTACGACGTGAATCAAAGCGCTCTTGAGAACATCACGTCTACCAGCCTTATGTCTCTATAGTTATATTTATGAAACTTAAATTGTGTGCTTGTGCTGGCGGCTGCTTCTGCCTTCCCTTTCGCTGTTGCTAGGGAAGCAGGGCGTTTTCGCTGCTTGAAGGGCACGGGGGGAACCGGGGGAAAAGCGCCTGGTCCGTGGTTCTGCTCGGTCATGGGTCACCTACAGCCCCGACCTAGTTGCGCACGCTGTATGCACGTGAATTGCGCGAACGTGTGGTGAAAATCGGCGTTATTTGCACGCTTTCTGTCCATTACCTTATATGGCAGGCAGAGATATATCGTGCCTCTGTTTAATTGGCCAGTCGCGGCAGCCCTGCTCTCGTCTCATGCGTTAACCCTTATTCTGCTGAATTACTTTTTACAACGGGAGAAGCGGGGTTATTTATTTATTAATTTTGGACCGTAACGCTGTAGACGTGTTTCATGCGTTTACTTGAACGTGATTAAAGCCACACGTTCTCTTTTTAGTTATTCCATCCCCTGTAATTATGTTGAATTCAAACAACAGCCCATATTTCTACAAGTCCATGTGGTGACAGTAACGCACGGTGGTCATGCAATGAGTGGATCTATAGTGATTTAAAAATACCTGCGTGCATCAAGACTAATCACGCACAACGTAGAGCTTTTTCCGTAAGTTGTAATAGTTGGCAAAACGATTTCTTCTTGTCAAATTGAAGATGTAGGACAAGGCAGGGTTAAACTGGCTGCTTATGAGTGTGACCTATATTGTCAAGATTGTGTTCTTTTTAATTTCCGAGGTAAGGAAAATATGATTAAAAGACAACAGAGTGGTTACAAATACTTCATTACGCACGGGAGCCTCGGTTAATCGGTTAGTCTGTATTCTATTGCATTTCTGTGCAGCAAATGTGCTACCACGTTATACCGTTAATGCTTGTTTTATGTAAACATTGTAACATGATCCACTCAAATAAACTACCTTACTGTATTACCAACTTAAACTGAGCTTAATGGAAAGAGAAAATCCCAAGGACCCACACATTTGCTATATCATTGTCTTGAATCCTTCCACCGCGTTTTTTGGCTCTGATCTCCACCCACTTGGCGCATAAAAAGTAACGGCACCACAATTTGAAAATGATTTTATAGGATCCCCGAACTGTGGGATGACCCTCTGCTCAGCGTGAGTGTGAGTCCACCCCCCCCCCCCCCCTTCCCCCCCCCCCCTCTCCCCCCCCGCCCTGACGTCACGCGCAGAGCTGGAGCAGTGCGCCTAGCTGCTCTCTCCACCACCGTATACAACTGTGATATCTGCGCGCTCGCTGCTGCTGCCAGGGGCTGCTGAAGCGGCGTGTGCAAAAAGGAGGGAAGCTGGAGAAGGATTACGCTTCGTTTACGTGTGGATCATACCCGAAAACACGGATTTATTGGCACCGGAGGAGAGACACGCTGCTGTTATTCATCCCGTTGCGCGTAAAAAACAGCCTGCGTTGGAGGAGCCTTCCCCCTGTGTTTTTGGCGAATCGGGAATTTCGAGGCGAGAATGGAGCTCCCTGCCGCCGGAGAGCACGTCTTTGCGGTGGAGGGCATAGAGAAGAAACGCATTCGCAAGGTATATCCACGCGCAGAACGTGCATGCGCTGCGTTTATGGCACGGAGCGCATATTCCCGATTCTAATCCTTGTTCTGTGTCCATCCTCTCTCTCACACACACACAGGGGAAGACGGAGTACCTGGTGAAGTGGCGAGGCTGGTCTCCTAAGTAAGTTTAAGTGCAGTGTGTGTTTGTATATACAGATCATGCAGCATTATTATGATCGTTGCAAAGGCACAAAGTTAAGCAAATGCACGGCGTTTGAAGGTGGGATGTGCGCGCGTATGTGGTGCTTGTGTTGTGTTTGCTTGGCAGAGCGCGCTTGGTATGTGTTTCCACTGTATCCGCGGATGCCTTCACTAATTTATGCGAGAGAAGGGGGTAGGCATGCAGTGTAATCCCGTTTTAATTATTTCTGCTCTGCCAGCGAATTTACGAGACTGTGCAGCGCGAAAATGGCCGACTGTATTCTGCCAGTGCACAGTTTTGGCGTGAAGGGAGTTTTTGACATATGAGTTGCGTGTGGCGGGACCGTGATGTAGAGCACGCATATGCATCCAAACGTGTGCATGGAAACTGGAGCCATACACGCTATGTCCGTGCATATGCAAAATGTGCACGTTCCATGGTTTGACTTTTAGTTGTTATGTTTGCTGATGCATGTGGTTTTACTATTTGTCTTTGCAGATATAACACGTGGGAACCTGAGGAAAACATTCTTGACCCCAGGCTGCTAGTGGCGTTTCAACACAGGTGAGAGTGACAGCGAGTAGTGGACTTTGGACAGCTGCGGACTGGAGCGGAGGCCCCAAACAGCAGTGCGCCACCTCCACTTCAACAGTGACCTTATATGGGCATGGGAGGAGGGGCGCTCCAGTAACTCTATCACTCTGATCCCCCCTCCCCTCTCCTCTCCCCATTACTGCACTATCTCCTTGGGGAAAAGGCTCAGGGATGTGTGGCAGCAGACTAGAATCTTTAAACTCGTACTGTAAATATAGGATAGAGGCAGAATATGTCTAAAAGGCAAAAGTGTAAAGTATTTGCTTTTCATGGGGACAAGAGAACGTTGACCTACTTTGCTTTGAAGCGCTGTAAATTGTAAAAAGCTTATCAGAGTTAGTCTATGCGGAAAGAGGCTAGCACACACTTCTGCCATACACATTAATTTAGATGGTTTCCACTATGTTGCTGCATCATTTATCTCATTCAGGGGCGAATTAGTGCAGCTATGCTTTCTTTTTCACACACCATGCACAAATCTCTCATTTATAACACGTTATTACAGCATGTCGACCTCAGCTATGCCACCAAACTATTTGTAATTCATGATAATGGACTGGAATAATGACAAATGCGGAGATGTCAGTGGGAGGTTGAAAGAGTAATGAATACAAATGCATCTGTCATTTTGGCCTGTTCACTTGGCATTAGCGGTGTATGTGGGATATACCCTCTCTGCGGGCCATCAGAGCACCCGTGGGAGCCCAGCTAAGACAAGATGGCTCCTGAAAGGAATTTACATTTGTGAAAAGGCTAATTGACACGCCATGGTGCCAGTGTAGGATTTCATTCTCGGGTTCCCCTTGCAGTCCGCTTTGCCTCTTTGCTAGCCCGTGTAAGTGTGTAGCGATGGTCATGGAGGTCTGCTTCTGTGTGTGTGCGGATTCCTCGCGGCTCCCAGAGGATGGGGGAGGGGTGCAGTCAGGGGATAGAGAGGGAGCCTGTAATTGCCAAATCTTGTATGAATAGGGGTCACCACGTCGGACGCTGTTTGAAATCACGCACATTATAGCATTAGAGAGTTTCTTGTGGCAATTTTCCGGTTGCAATGACATTTGTAATGAAAGGGAAACAATAGCATGGTGGGGAAGCCTGTGAATAGGCCAGACATACTTCACACGCAGAGCCAATCAACGATGACAGTCATTATTCTAACCATCTATACTATGTATACCACCACGACATATGACCACACGTCCTATTAGTCAGTAAGTGTTTTTTGAGAGGCGAACGTAAACTCCAAATCTACCACAATGGGGTGTTTATCCGATTTCATCCCTACCTCATGACCCTAATTAGAGTTCAAGTGTAAAAGGCAGGACGAGCTGGCTCCAGGAGGAAGCAGAGATCCTCTGTGCCGTCGGCTTAATTGAATTTTCCCCAGGATAATGAGAATATGGAACAGGGCGATTACCATGGAGAGCTATGCAAATACGAATCATAATACTTTCTGTAGGCTGCACTCGGGCACTCATTACTCAGTCCAAATCTAAATTCTGAGTGTGACCTTGGAAAGGGAAGAGAGGAATGAATAGATTTGCTCATGTCAAAGATGAGCAAAGTAAGTCCCTGTGTCATCCTGATTATAATTGTAAATAATGCAATCCCAGGTGTTGCGTGTATAAAGCAGATGTGAAAACCGATGCTAAACTTCTTTTTTTTGTTACCACAGAGAAAGACAAGAGCAGCTGATGGGATACCGGAAACGAGGACCCAAACCGAAACACATGCTCCTCCAGGTAACGCGCACATTTAAAGATTAAGATCAAGATGAAGAGATCCTCTATATGCCCCACAGTCGGGGAAATGTCAGTGTTTCCTTACAAGTTACAGATCAGTAGGAATGACGAGAATACAGCACAAGATAAATGAATAATAAGTGTATAGCAAAATGAAATAAAATCACTAACTGTAGCATAAAAAAACAGCAGAAAATCTCTATCTTTCATTCACAAAATCATGGCTCCTCTGTTGAGCTGTGTGTTAAATGACTAAACATTATTTCTTATTCGCTCAGAGGAAAAACGGATTTGCAGCTGAGATTTTGCATGCAATTAATGAACATTGTGAGGGGAGAAAATAACGACTAAACTTGCGCACCATGTCTGACAGTTTCCTGATTTACTGCCGCTTATTTATATATATATATATTTTTTTGTGCTGCTGATTCATTGCCTTCATTTCCCTTTTTGTAAAGTTGAAAATAGATGACTATAATTAGACACAGTTTCAGGCCTATCCTCTGAGCCAAATGTGATTATATATTTGGAGAGGCTTGAAGCTGATGTCTCTGCTGTGCGTCCTTTAGAGGCATGCCACTCCTCCTCAGTCACACATGGCCAGTGCTCAGGCCTCAAGCGTGACACGTCGAATGGCAGCTCTCTGACCCGGGCCAAAGTGGTCCAGGGTCAGTCGCACTAAATCTGTGACGATTCAGGCAGGCAACGTGTGGGGGGGTGTCCATTTTTAGTCTAGAGGGGTTTTCATTTATACAGTGGACCCGGAATTTAAGACAAGAATGTGTTAAAATAAAGAGGCTTATGACCTTCAAGACTTCTAAAATCTTAGGAGGGATTTGCGTTAAAAATGACTATGACCGATGAGTTGATCATCCATGTGGAATAATATAGACATTTCCCAGCATGCAACTTTATGAGAGACAGAGAAGCGCATGTAAAAGCCCAAAGTATTGTCTCTTATAACCTTCACCTGACACAAATTTAAGCAATATGCCAAGAAAGTGATATTTTCTCCACCTGAATTTCAACTACCCTAACCTCAATAAAGTATCTATCTTCCTTTTCTGTCTAAATCTAGTCTGCATGTTCACACGGAGCAAGCCCCTGTAAAAATTGTAGGCTAGAAAGAGGGTTATATGCTGAGTAGCTGTGGCCCACCAGCCTATGTTGCTCAATCTGATAGGAATTTTGGTCGGTGTGAAAATGCCTTCATAATTTGTCTGTTGCATTACTAATATTATTATAGTAGTTATTATTTCAGTGCTTCAAATCCTTAGTATTTTTTCACAAACACTGACATGTTTTTCAATGTATAGGTGCCGTCGTTTGCACGGAGATCAACGATCCCTGATGCACTGGAGGAGGCCCCTCAGGAACCAGAGAGCGGCCCAAAGGATCCTGTCCTGGTGCAATGGTCCCAGCCACACTACCAGCTCAACAGTAAGAAGCACCACCAGTACCAGCCCAGCAGCCAGGAGCTCCCTGTCGACCAGAACATTGGCAAAAAGAAGTTTATTTACCAGTTAAACAGCAAGAAGCACCACCACTATGAGCCTGACCCCAGCATGTACGACAGCCAGGCCTCCAGGCTTAAAGAGGTGGTCAAAGTTCAGGAGGTGCCGAGTAAACTATCCAATCCTGGTTGGAACTTACCGCTGGCCCTGCAACAGAAATGGGTCAGGGACAAAGACACAGGCTGCTTGAGTAAAGTGAAGGAGATGGCTGTGGAGGTGAGGAAACCAGCGAAGGAGCTTGAAACTGTTGAAATGGCAAAATCAGATCCTAAGGATACAAGCCAGCCCAGCACTATCAACAGTAAAATGAAGATAATCAAGAATAAAAACAAAAATGGACGTATTGTTATTGTAATGAGCAAATATATGGACAACAAGGTCAATGGACTTAAGGCTAAACATGGGGAGTCATCAGGAGACAAAACGGACAGCACAAAGCCTTCAGAAAACACTCCAATGCACAGAACCCTCGGTTCAGAGGCGGATAACGGAAAGTCTCCTCCAGCGGCTGAAATCCCAATCAAGTGTTCCCCAAAGGATCGGCACTTTTCCAAACCATCCCCAAGCACAGCAGAGGAGAACAATACGGAGGTGGCACGTGGTCAGGCGGACTTACCTGATGACTTGCCCTTACAGCTGACCGCCAGCTCACCTCCAGTCTCATGGACTGTTGAAACCAACATCCCCACACCCACCGCGGTGGACCAGATAAGGATACCCTCTTTCCCCATTGACCGCAAACGTAAGCTATCGGATCCAGTAGAGGAAAGGAGCATTTCTAAATCACTCCTGATGTCCCGCAGCCTGAGTGTGCCCAGTGCTATGGTCAGCCCTCCTCAGGACGCACCTATGGACCTTCACTGCAGCCGCTCGCATGACACTGTATGCACTTATCCGATCGCAGACAGCCAAGAGGAACCCATGGACCTGAGCTGTCCCAAGAAAACACCTGAACCACAGGTACAAGTAGAAACAGAGCCAGAGCCTCTGTGTCAGCCTGAAGTCAGAGACCCTCCCCGAGAGGACGCACAGGAGCCCTCCGAGAAGCCACAAGAAGCACCAAAAACACCCTCTCCTTTTATGGGCAATATTATAATTACTGACATTACAACAAACAGTCTTACTGTCACCTTCAAGGAATATGTGACTTATTAAAAAACTCGTCAGAGTGACTGCGTAAAGGACAATGCATTTATGTAAATATGTAAAGTATATAAATTTTGAATATATTGAAATTTTTTATTTATAATGCAAAATTCAATATGTTTCTTATCTTTTATACAGCAACCTATCTGTGATGTAGCCAAGAAAAAGTGCCCTCAACAATTTGAGTGAATGCATTCTTGCGTATGCATTCCACTATTTAATAATATCAACTTGTTATAGACATATATAACTTTGTAGGAGTCTTGTATCAAATGTATAACCCTATGAAGTTTCATACATATTTTGTATAATTGATATTAAAACCTATTTTGGTTCTAAATGAAATGGATGAGAATGTTGATCAAAGATCAAATGAAAGCATTTAGTGCATTATCGTTGCTAGTTGTGAAAGTGATGAGTTCAAGTTGAATTGTTCTCATTGTTGTTTAGTTGTTATTCTTACAACTGGGAGGATCTCTTATCTCTAAACACGAGTGGAAGTGTCCCGATCTTTGTGTTTAGAGAAAAGACCTGTGCCTTGTCAAAGGGCAGTTCCCGTTCCGAACTGGTGTCATTTTTCAAACTCACTCTTGTTAAAAACTATTGATTCTGGCCGTAATGAGGCTGTGATGGATGACCTTGTTATGAACCTTCCAACTGGACTTTCTTTCCTGAAACAGTGATTAGTGCTTTAATCATCTCGTTTGAAGTGACCGCTCTGAAGAATATGTGAATGCTTTATGATGAGAACAAGCTATGATTCCCACAAATTCCACAGACCTTTTTGTTTGTGGAGCAGGTTTATTTTGCTGTAGTTTCCTTTTGCTGCTTTTAGATCAATGTAATTTTTTGTTGGAGAGAAAATGTGTTGGATGTAACACATTTTGCCTTCTATGCACAGTTAATGCAAAATCTCTATCATAAAGATTTTTGGAGGGTTAATTATAGTTCAAAACAAATGTTCTCTGCATCAGAAGCTGAAAGTTCCATAAGCTGCTTCTACACATTTAGATTGTGTACTACTTCATCGTTAATCCTTTGCTTTTTGTTACTTTGCACTTGATCCAATGTCAAAATGATTGTTCTAAAGTATGTTGTCGAAGACAGTTTGGTGTTGGCACAGCTTAGATCTGCTGGAGGCTGTCTTACAATAAAACAGAAAAACAAACTCAATCCTTGTATTGTATTACATTTTTGATTCACTCTTGAATTTATTCACCTAAGTTTAATCCATAGAAGGGAAGAGAATATTGCAGGGCAGGGCTGGTAAGGCTGCAGTATTGTAATGCATAATATTTCACCCTCGTCCCTTGACATCACAACATATAAAGAATAAGTACCATTATGTGAATCTGGGTCACAACTGCAAAAATGTTTGACTTCTGTTTTTAGACGAGATCGTGGTATTCAAGGGCCGCCGTGGAAAACATATTATTTTTAGAATATTATTTTAAAGTGCTTGTTCTGGATATTAATATATCCGCACACAATCCACTTTTCTGCTTTAGAATATGTTTTGACTTATGTTGGCTAAATTAGGGCCAGTTATGCTCCAAACTTCAAGACGCACTCAAAGGTCACTACTCTATTCCTCTGACAAAGTGTGCGTAATCATACTCCACAGCTCCATACGGGGCCCGTGGCTGTGTTCCCCGGGCGACAAGGCGCACCTAAGATTACAGACGTGGAGAGTGTCTTTGGCCTTTAGAGCCAGAAAGTGGATCAGGGCTCAGAGCACAGACATATTTAAAGAGGCAGTGTGGTGTTTCACATTCCCCCTTTTTTCAGTGCAGCTACATGTAGCAGGACGCGCGGTGCGAGTTTTACACGTGCTCTTGTCACCACCAAGATCAGCTGACTGATTTAGGAGCCCAATGAAGGAATATGCATAGACAGAGACCACGTATATATATAGGCTTTGACTTTTCATTAGGCAAATAAATAGGCTGACTGACATTGTGTTGTATACGGCTGTAAGTCTATGCGTGTTTTCTATAGGCTGCTTGGTGCAAATTAAGCCTTTATGTTCACAGCACGCAGGGGTTGTACTGGAGTGGGTGTCTTTCCGAGCAGTTGTTGGAGAAATATGGCAGGTTGCAGCAGTCATGTTCGCTCTGAGCTCGTGTGGTTTGTCAGAGTGACGCAGCATGGCCACAAACAGAGCGGCACCAGTCTCACGGAGGCACAGTGGCGTCTCTGTGTGTCCACGTCCCCGTCTCGGCTCCCCTTTAGCTGCACATGAACCGTATAGTCAACCTCGTCTCGCTCTACATCCGAACAGGGAGCAGAGCAAGAGCCACCGCGTCGTGAAATGTCGGTCCATGCGCGCTATCAAAATGGTGGTGCATATAATTCCAGCGGTTGGAGCCCACAGTGTTAAAGTGCGCGTCTCGGATCATCTCGGAGAATCGGAGATGTGCCGTTAGAGAATATGACCGGGTAATGAGTCAAATGTCATAAATATGCACTCCACCGCGCAGCGCCTCATGCCGTTTGGCTCAAACATTTCTGAAAAATAAATAAACCTAAAATAAGCCCCTAAAATAAAGTCTACAAATAACCCACATTGATGATTTGACAAAGTGAAATGCTCCCCGAATAACCGTTAAAGATTGATTGATAAATATAATAAAACGCCCATTTCTGACGACGGGCTGTCCAGCGTCAGTCCATTCACAAAGTTCATTTCCATCAGAATATTTGCGCCCATTTCCTCTAAGTTCCTCTGTTTTTGTTAATTTAAAACTATGGGAAATACAGAATTCCTTAAGTTTAATGACACTATTTAAATTCTTAATAAGTGTCAATAATCAGGAAAAAAATGAATGCATTGAAGGCACCGGTCTGTATATTTGCACCTAATCGAATATTTGAGCCAGAAAAAAAGGGAAAATGAAATAAAGAAATAGGCCTAGTGGACCTAATAATAATAGGCGAAAAACGACAATGATGAGATCATAAATAGAATTATTATATGATTATGAATAGAATACCTATGACACGTATAGGCTTATTAAAAATATTATTAATAAAATTGTGCCATCATCAAATCTTTTTAATATCTTATCATGCGTTTTACCGATGGTTGAAACAGTCAAAAGGAATGCATGCATGAAAGAATCGCTAATAAAACATTTAGTGCCGCAAACAAGAGATTCATATCACCAACATAAATATATAAATATTATAGTAAATGCCCATTCTCAGGCTTGTGCGTTTTATGTTTAGGATAAATAAGTATCGGCCAAAAATAAGGGAAAGAGTTTAATCCTGAAATGTAACGTGACTGCAGCGACAGTAAGCACAGGGCTGTGAATATTTTATCTAAAACACCGTTTCAATTGGCTAAATTCTGAAGTTCTGTCTTAAATGCTCCACATGAAACAGGCCTGAAAACGTATTCGAAGTCTTTACAGAATAATTGTCTTTGAATTCTTAAAAAACAACTTTTCACAAGTTCTTTCAATCTTTTTCGTTGTTTCTTTGAACAAAACTATGATTTTTTTTGTTTCATGGATATGTGACTAGTGCATTGTCTGTTACATTTATTATATATAAGAAACCCGCGTGGCCCTACTCCGAGGCCCGCGTGCCAATCGCGCACGCACACATTCCAATGCACGCGCGCAGCAGCGGGGCTCCGCCCCCTCCTCGCGCTCACAAACTCGAGGCACGTACAGCGTGCTGTTCCTGTGCCTGGCAACGCACTCAAACGTCATGACGTTTTGGTGCGTATTATGGGATGTGGCGAATTAAAGCAGCTCCAAGCTGCACGAGGACGTCTATAAAACAGAGAGAGCGCGCAGCGATGGAGCTGTCTGCTGTGGGCGAGAGCGTGTTTGCAGCAGAGTCCATCCTCAAAAGGAGAATCAGACGGGTACGCGGCGCATTCTGCTTCTGCCCACGTCTTCGCGCCCACTGGGCTCTTGTGCAATCGACAGCCAGCCCTCTGCTAACCTTTGCCGTGTTTATGTTGCAGGGTCGCTGGGAATATCTGGTGAAATGGAAGGGCTGGTCTCAGAAGTGAGTATGAGGCGGGGAAGGACAGCGCTCCTGTCTGGACGCTCGCACTATTGCAGCGCGGTGCTGACAGCTTTCCTCCGCGGCTGTTGCTGCTGTTGTTCACATTGTTTGTTTACTATCTGCGCACATCAGGCAGGAGTTAGACACGTCTGAGCTGCGCACATGCATGTTCCTCTCGCTTTAGCTTCTGCGTCACGAACCGCTATGATAAGCAACCGCAGCACAGCGCTGATCCGACTATGGCGGCGATTGTACTGGTCCAAGTTTGGAGCTCACAGACTTTACGTGTTCGCTGCTGTTTGTTGTGACGCAGATACAGCACATGGGAGCCAGAGGAGAACATCCTGGATCAGCGACTCTTCGCTGCTTTCGAGGAGAGGTGAGGATCTGACAGGCCCGAGCTCTGCTCTGGATGGGCTTATGTAACCCGCTAGAGCTGGCTCTATGCCGCTTGCACACTTCGGGTTTGAAAGACAGCGCACCACATTACTCCATATAATTCTATAATTATGCATTGTATCTTCTGTTATTATTATACAACATGTCTTTTTTAGGGAAAGAGAGAGAGAGCAGTTTGGTCCCAAAAAGAGGGGCCCTAAGCCAGAGACATTTCTTCTAAAGGTATATACCGTTCAACTTTAAATCCTTTGTATTTACTTATTGGTGATCAATAACTCATTTATTTCTGAGTTAATTTTGTCGAAGTAGTTTTATAATTTATCTTTCCTGGGCTTGGCCCAGTACATTTATCCTGTACCAACTCTACAATATTACTGATGTTTCTCTCTAATGAAGGTCCGATAGGCTAATGTTTGTATTCTGTCCTCAGGCCCGGGCCAAAGAGAGAAACAAGCCATATGAGTTCCGTAGAGAAGTCTCAAGGGCAGTTGGTCAGGTCTCGTATACCCCCACAGAGTGCATCATTACACCCAGGGCCCGTGAGGGGCTTCGTGCAGTTGTGCCCACTCTGTATCCACCCGGCGCAGTCAACAGAGGAGAGACTGTCCCTGTCGGATATACAGAGTTTGACAGAAGGCGCAGGTCACCTATAACTGACGCAGAATTGACGCCCAAAAAACGTGGGCGAAAAACTAAAGTGTCTTTAGAAAAGCCAGAGGTCAGACGCAGCAGGTCACTGGAGAGTCCAGCATCAAGGCCCTTCCATTATTCCGCAGAGACGTCGGAGCACACGCTCAGCATGCTGACGAAACGCTTTGAAGAGAAGACCACGATCACCCCAAAGTGCAGCGTGTCGTACGCGTGCACGCTGGGACGCACAGGGGACAGAACTGCAGTAAACAGAATGTCTCTCCATCCCCTTAAACATCACCCCGCCATCATCCCCGCACTTTCAGACCCGCACGAGCACGCGCACGCGCCTCCCCAGCACTGCTCCTCGTGGAGGCCGCCGCTGACCCGCATGGACGCTGTGACCGTGACTGACGTCACTATGAATTTCTTAACAGTGACCATCCGAGAGAGCACCACGGCAAAGGGCTTCTTCAAGGACAAGAGAAAAGGGGTTTCTGGAGCAGAGACCAAAAGCTGAATGTACACACTCAAAGCTGCTAAAATAAATGTAACCTGTTTGTGACATTTGTGGAGATTTGTGGATATATATGCCTTTATGAGCGTGCATAGACTTCAATCAAGCAGGCAGTTATATGAACCTGGCGTTAGAAAATAATGATCGTATTAAGTACAGAGATAATGTGTTCAGGCGTCAGTAAAGAGGACTCGAAGCAACATAAATTTTGAGGCTCTCTGAGGGCCACGCTGCATTAGGCCCAGGGAGGCATGCCCTGAAAGGTCAGATCTGAGAGGCGTGTGGCTCTGGCCTAGAAAAGTGTTATAATTCCCAAGTGACGTCTGTTCAGTTCTTATTATTTACTTGGTTGGGACAGTACATTTTAATGAACACATCACTCCGGATTATATAGCCCTGGTATAATTTGCATCCGTTGTCCCACATTCGCACTCACAAACACACTGATTCAACCTGAACTATTGTAATTATCCGGACCATTTTAAGAACAGGTCACAGATGTCGAAACCACCTATATGTCCTTTAACCTGAGTTTCAATAAATGTATTTCCGCAGAGAACAGTATACGCGTCACGTTTACGCTGCGTGTAGCGGACACAATTATTGAATGACAAATGACATTCATGGCGTGTGATTCCAAAACCAGATGCGGTTAATCAAAACTAAATTTCCAATATAATATTTAGTAAGGCCTTGCAACATCAGATTTCATAGCCATTTAATGGCTCTAAAAATCAGAGTATGATAACACAAGATCCCAGAGCTTTTAGTGGATTAAGGTAATTGTGTCAAACAACTGTCTGTTCATTCAGGTATAATTCAACAATAACTAAAGTGAGCCAGATTAAATATTTAAAGACCCTGGTGATGTTGGCCTCATAAAGCTTTGTGTCGAATTGTAAATGGCAGTAAATCAATCCCAAAAAAACTCTTAAAATGAATCTCCTCTGGAACATGTTTAAGAGAAAATGTGCAGAACTGATTTATTCTGGCAGCAGGCTATAATTTTATAACATTTTCTGCCACGCGCGCCTTAAGCCATTGCACCAAATTGTACAGTTGCGGGTTCGATTCTGATGTCGGCCCGGGCGTGTGTGTTTGAGTATCTTCCAGTGTCTGAATGGGTCATCTCCTGGTTCACTAAACTGTAAGTAAATCCTCCAGAGTCTTTCTAAAGATAGGTCTGCAGCGACAGCTTTGTTGCCTCTGAGCCGATACAAGATCAGTTTAATGCAGAAGATACATTTCCAATACGGGGACAATAAAGTGTATAGCTGAATACTTTTACCAGGCTTAGCACATCAAACCGTTCTTGTTCATTTGTAAATTCACCATAAGGGCCAACCCTCTCTCTAACCTAAAAATAAAATAAAAATTAAAAAAGACCCAGAAATACACGCGGATGCGACACACGTTAGTCTTCGGCCATCTCCGATATGGATTCATGTTTTTTATCTGACATTATGATGAGCTGATGAACTGTGCATGCCAGCAGCACTGCGTGGTCATGTGCAGCTGTCCTGTCGCTGGAGGGAGCCCAAGAACCAACATATTAGCATTCTTTCCAAAGTATATAGCCGATAACAAGCTGTTGACCGGTGATAACGTATTTATCCCATGAGAATCTACAAGACAACAGGGCCTGATACATTAGTGGTCGATTTTTTCCAAACGATTATAAAACCTGAACAATCGCCAATGTTGCATTAGTGGTAGATAAATGGACATCCCCCATGGATGTGAGGGAGTCCACATGCAAGTGCTGTAATGTATCATCAATCAGCAGGCTAAAAAACGAGCAGAATGGAGGCTGCGTAACTGGGAGTAGTATAGCCAAATGAAATGAGCAGGGGGCCTCCATCGCAATATGCACGTAGTCAAGTTTGTGGAGAAGCAAGCCCACCCCAGAGAAAAGGGGGGCAGAGAGAGGTGGCGAGAGAGAGAGAGAGAGAGAGAGCAGGGTGGTATACATGCGGACCTCTCTCAACATCATGCTGAGAGCTGCAGAGTGCGCCAGTGTGTTCGCAATGTGTCAACACAGGTTTTATGTAGGAAGGCGCAGTTATGGATGAGATGTTGTACAGTGTGATCATTTTATACCATTTATCAGCGTCTTTAATATGCTGCACAGCTGATTTCTGCAACTGGACTGGGAGGTGAGTAAGACATAAAGCTTATAAAACATTAATCCTCCTTCTTTGTCACGAACGATGCGTTTTGATGCAGCTCCACACAGGAAGAGGCCGGGCTGGTGCTGCAGGTGCGGCTCCGCTGCGCTGCAGGTTGGGTAAGGTGGTTCTCCGCTGGTCAGGCTCTCAGGGTGGTCCTCGAACCCAGTCTGTCCACCTTTAGCCCTAGGGTCTGCATCCAAGCCTCCCCGACCTTGCGCGGGCTCCACATGTTCACTGAGCGCTCCGGGCGGCTGCAGTTGTTGACCACGGGGCGGGAGAAGACGTCATGTATTGACGCTCACGGAGAGACTGTCATCTATCTCCAAGTGAGTGTCCAGAGTCCTGCGTCACGGGGACGCACTGTGGGCTTCCAGTACGAGCTGACCTACCCGGGTCCCGGGGCCAGCCCTCACCTCACAGGCCTGGGAGGTAAGTGGCCATAAGCGTCAACAACTTTGATCCAAATGAATTGCGTGACCTCTGCTGTCTGATTAATTATAAACTACACCTTTATTTATATATTATACTTTAATTGGTTACATTTTTTAATTCACGCTGCTGGTAGGCCTTTTGAATACTGATTTTAATTATTTTTGGTTATTTATAGGCTTGTTTTTATTCTTGCGTTTAGTGTAATTATAACTTAGACATACAGAGGGTGCATTTCATAGCCTGTAATTAATTGTCAATGTAACTTACAACCTTATTGTGTACACTAATATGGTGCAGGATTGCATACACAATAGAAAAAGAGTTATTTTATTAGTTAATTTCTGATTAAATTGTAGGTGGTCATGTGTGTGTGTGTGTCTGACGGCCTGGCTTCTGTCCAGACACAAAGGCACAGGGCAGCACAGGGCAGCGGGCCAGAGCCTGAATGCAGTGGTCAGACCCGGCTCAGATTCCTCAAATGCCTCTTGATTGTCTGTGAACGTCTCAAGGCCCTGATGTCATTCTGGATCTATATTAAGCACAGCTGCCTGTCTAACTTCTAAGGGCCTCATTTATCAAGGCAAGACAAGTTTATTTGTGCAGCACAATTCAAACAGGGAAACTCGAAGCATTTGCTCACCGTGCAAAAGTACTAGCACCCCTTGGGGCAGACTCACTTCTCATGCACCCCTTGTACAGTTGTTCTTGAGGGTTAAGCAGACATGTTGTTTTGACCATATTAAGAATGACAACACATTAACACGTTTTCACTCATCCTTAAAGCAATTTCAAAATTACTGGAGGCTTTTTCCCAAGAAGAATGGTCAGCTTTACCATCAGAGAAGAAAGAACCTCATCCACAACTACCACCTAAGACTCTAAGCTGTCATAGATGTTAAAGGGGAAATACACCCAACTGAGTTTCTGTTCTTATAATTTGAAAATAGAAAACATCTTTATTTGACATGAAATGGCTTCACACGACTAGTATACACTCTCAGACACAACTGGAAGTAAAGCAGAAGAATTCTACACACTGTTTGACTTTGCACCCTCAGTTTAGCACCGGGTTGATAAATAAACCGTATGTAATATCTTTTGTAGGGTTATTCAAGAGGGTTCCATTCAAAGTTAGTCATATAGCAGTCGAGTAAGTTGTAAATTTGTAAAACACTAATGCTATTTTTATTTTCTCACAGATCCTTGTCGACCCTGTAGTGACACTCAGCTGCTCATGGCCATTTGCACCAGTGACTTTGGTGAGTACAGAGCTGGACTAATTTTATATATTAGGTGTTACTTTTTTCAAATACCTCTTCTTTCAAAGCCGAGAAGATACACTTGATGTGAGAATATGGAGGGTATGCACAAAATAATATTAATCCTGATTATAACTGATGCGTTTATCTTTGCAGTTGTCCGAGGCACCATACAGAAAGTCTCTCATAACTCCGCCAGACAAACCTCTCTAATAAACGTGTCGGTGACCAAAGTATACACGCAGCGTGGCAGTCTGTTTGAACAACCACCCACCTCTCCCCTGGACCCCAGTCTCCCGCGGTCTGCCCACATCTCCACGCTGCTGCAGTGCCACATAAAACCAGGAAAGGGAGAGTTTCTATTTACGGGGTCGAAGCACTTTGGGAGAGCCTGGTTAGGGTGTGCCCCTCGATTCAAAGACTTCCTGTCAGTGTACCACAGCGCCAGGGCGGCACGGAGCAACCCCTGTGATTTCCTTTTAGACTGAGGAGCAGCGCTACATGCCCCATCCACAGGCCTCCTCACCTCTGCACAGCGCTCAGGGGCCATCGTCATGTTTTCAGCTGTGCACTGGTGGAGCAGGCAGCAGCAGGCAGCAGCAGGCAGCAGCAGGCAGCAGCAGGCAGCAGCAGGCAGCAGCAGGCGGCAGCAGCAGGCAGCAGCAGGCAGCAGCAGGCAGCAGCAGGCAGCAGCAAACAGCAGCAGGCAGCAGCAGGCAGCATCGGGGTTCCAGTCTCGGCTGGAGGGGCTCACAGGGGCATCCCACTGCTGCACGAGGCTCTGAGGTCTTTGTTCCATCCTCTGGTGCCCCACCCCCTCAGCCGCGCAACCTAACTGACCTCACTTTATCAGTTCTTTTAAGGATGTTTCTTTTGTATATTCAATACTTTCAGAAGAAACCCAGACTGTTTTCAGATGAAACAGGAATGTGAATAAATATTTTGATGATCATTTGTGTTGTTTTTGAAAAGATATTTCTTGCTCATGAACAAAGACAAAAAACAATTCTTTCCCATTTGTCTCCCCTTGTAGAAGAGTGAAAGGGGAATGTATTCCAATGTGGTTTTACTGCAAATTGCAAATAAATGAATCTGAATCTGATCTTCTGAATGTCTTTCCACTATATAAATTATCTACCTATTATCAAATTATGATAATATATATCCTTCAGATTTATGATTGCACCCCTTCTGTCATTCAAAACCCAAAATGTAATGAAAGAGCCAATGCTCTCCAACATGACAGACAGAAAAAGAAAGTCAAGGGGACCTGAATCCTGTATAGACCGGTCTGAACTCCTCTCAACAATTACATGTCTTTTGAAACAAATTTAAGTGTTTTTATACCATTCATCATAGTCAAGCCTGGATCAAACCCAAACACAAGCTTAAAGCAGCAGACTGATGTTACAGTCATCTCCAAACCGACTGCCAGGAGCTGATACTGGTATTCAACAAAAGCTCTGGGAATATAAAATGATGAACATTTTGGTCAACAAAATAATTGCGGATCTGCTGACCAATTGCCCTTTTCAAATAATGGGGAAACATTTAAAAATATGGGTTCTATTTGTTTAATGCTAGACAAAGGTGCAGGAAGTTTAAGATCTAAATCAAGATGAAACAGCCTGAATTATTTAGTTGGATCATGTTTTATCTCACTTTAATCTACAATAAAGAATTGTAGATAAAAATATACAAAAATGAACCCACAACTAATACAATATTAGTAAAATAATTCCCCTGTTGCCCTCCAATCCTGACCTAAAGCCTGTTTCAGAGTGTTCCTTGTGCATTGTTGCCGGGGCCCACACAGCAGCCCACCTCACCCCTCTCCAGGCCTTTGACAACAGTTTCATGTGTGGGAATCCCGCGGCTCTCAACGGGACAGACACCCGAGAGGAGTGAAGTAGGAGCTGGACAGGGCAGCGGCAGGAGTCCACCCAGCCTGGGGGGTAATTGGTTTATCCCAGCGCCTGGACCACTTTCCCATGTGGGCCACTGCTGAGGGGAGGCCCAGGGTACAATATGGGAACAGCGTGATGCCCAGCAAGACTCAACCACTATTCACCAAAGTGGAGCTGCAGATGGTGCAGGGATATAAATGTTTTAAATCTATGACCAATGGACTTTGGGTAAAAAATGGACAATGATTTGATTTCACTTTTAAGTCGCTTTGTATCCACAGGCGTCCATGAATGAGTTTAATGTCTTATGGATTTAAAGCAAAATCCTGGAACTTTCTGGAGGAGGCAATGATTCCTTGAAATAAAGTTAGAACCACTTTGCATAATATTATAGTCCGGGGTTATGTTTCATATTGAGTGCCACCTAAAAACAAATACCTCCCAAGGACCACCATATTTAAAGTTGTGGCCTTCTGAGGACCAACACGTCAACACCAGGTCTAAAACAGGTTTTAGGACTAAAACCTATACCTATAGTTTCAAGATTACCCCAAAAGAAGTAACCAAAGAATTGATAGAATTGCAACAACAACAACATCATGTCAACTGTTTTAAACATAAGTTTGGATATTATTTTGCAGTAGTTTTGGATTCAACCACAACTGGGCCAAATATCAATAAGACATGTATTGGAAGACAGACAGATAGTTAAAATAATAATAATAATAATTAAGTAACTATAACTTCTAATTACATTTTACTCAAGATGTGAACAGATACAACGATATGGTTGTTTTCCTGAGACAATAGGCTTTAAAATGAAGTGCAATGCAGAAAGTTAAATCCTTTCAGGGGCCAATAAAATTTGTCTCATGGGCCGCATTTGACATGTATGATCTAGAACAACTTTTTAACGCAATGGGCCACATGAACCCATAATAGTAGGATGAGGACCAAACCAACTTCACATTTATCGATGCTCTTTTGATGGTAAACATTATATAAGCTCTGCGTGACTGCATTAAACCATTCTGCCACTCCACTTTTAGACAATCTGTTTTCTATGTGAGTGTGACTATAAAGACATGCTACAATAAAGTGCATGAAAAATGATTGAAGACGTTACACTTCTGTCCCACTGGCCCCGAGTGGGACAGAAGATGTGAGAAAGTGTGTTTTTATTTTCCATGTACAATCCATTCAAATACAAACATGTGAATTTGTTTTTAATATGAGAGAATATGCCTAAAATGATGCTGTGACAATTTGTCATTTGCCGATTTCATCCAAAAGACTTCAGGTCTTAAAGTAGGGCTACATGCCTAGACTTGTTTTATTTTTAAGAAGATATTAATGTTTTTAATATGTTCGAAGTTATTTATTTCATTGTTCTTACTTACATTTATTTCTTGTTCATTCAATACTTGATCTTTGTGATTTTATGGACTCTGTTTCTTCTCCTTGGTGCAGGCCTGTAAAGAAGCAGACAAATGACAATACTATAATGGTAATAGAAATAAAACAGGACACCAGAAGTGAAGTGGCTCTTTAATGGTCTCTACCCTCTGCTGCTTTTTGGCTCAAGTTCAAAAGGAAGAAAGAATTTGAGCTTTCAGTTGATGATTTAATTAATAACATTATCCATGATGTCTGCGGAAAGCCAAGGAACCGCAAGGGGCTCTGACAGTCCAAGCAAACTCTGCTCTGACAATTCTGTGTCATGTGTTTTGGGTCAAACCAATATTTATATAAGAAATAGCTCAGCACAAGTGCAGAGCGCTCCTGAGAGACACAGGGCAGGTACTGGAGGTGCCTCACCGCCTCCTCTGCATGTGAACTATACATGTAATCACATTACAAATCATCAATGATCAGCTTGGGGCTATTTCCACAAAGACACATCAACAATCAATCCTCCAACCAAAGTTAGACCAGAGTTTCGACTTTGAAGAAACATTTCTAATTCTAATCATTAACATTTTACAGATTGTTGGGTCCATGCCAAACTGCTACACACTGAAATGGCCACCAGATGGCAGCACATCTATCTGTACCATAGACTGTATATTATCTGTACCCAAACAGCTGTGGCGTGTTGCGTGCAGAATTGAAAGTACTTCAAGAACATACAACTGTTCTATGTTCGAACATATGAAACGTGAAATCCGAAAGTTGAAGATGTGAGCACAGCATGTTTCGTCGTGAGCTGTAATATGTGAAATAGGCAGAAGTTAAAGTGAGATTAGCTGCAGACTGTGGTTGTCCAGCCTCCTCAACACTGTGTTTGAACACTTCTTGGATACAACGTGATTACAACTTGTACTTTTATGATAATATAATATCTCACTTTATCCGGACAACAAAGGCCGAGCGAAGGCTGAGTCACTTTCCCTCCTCTGGGCTCTGTGTCTGGGCTCTGAGGGCTCTGAGGGCTCTGAGGGCTCTGAGGGCTCTGAGTAAGGCTGAGGGCTCTGAGTAAGGCTGAGGGCTGAGGGCTGAGGGCTGAGCAGAGGTATCACATGTCAGAGCTGCTCGGGGGAAGTCGACGCACTTCCTTGTCGCTCGCACTGAACATTTCTTGAGAGCAGAGAGACGTGTCAAAGTCACAGAGCGGGTTATGGACGCTGCTTGTGGGGGTCCTGCCGACTGTAGAGGGGTCTCACACGGACACGTCTGCAAGACTTGAATGTGTCTTTGTTACTGGATTAGTGCGCACTGCACTATGGCTGCCACATAACTTTTTCTTTTCCTTCTGCGGAAAAACACGGAGCTTCGCCACCTCGTAAAGGAAACTGAAGAGAAACGACCATGAAGAAACAGTTCAACCGCATGAGGCAACTCGCCAACCAGACAGTGGGAAGGTGGGTATACTCATACTCAGACTGTAGATGTACAGCTGAGCTGCGGATGATGCAGCGCGTCTGTCCACTGCCAAATCTGTAATAGATCTTATACAGTCACAAAGAAATGCAACGTTTGTATCAGAATCAGAGTCAGAATTCATTTGTTTTGCCAGTGTGAGTAACAAAAAGCCACAAACAAGGAAATTGCTTTGTATGAGGTGTTCCTGAGAAAGTTTCATGTTTTTTAAATCCTGTGGACACATGCATGTACACATGGCAACTGACTGATAGTTCCAACATATCTCAACACAGATACAGAAAAGTCACATTAATAGTATGTGAACATATAACTAGAAACTGCATCACATTGTCATGTTATAATTGTTTTAAGATGAATGTGATTGAGTCAAATCCTGGGTAAGGATTAGTATTGATTCATAGCCCACTGATAACAGCTGGCCTGTGGAATCCTGCTGTACTTAACCTCACCTGTTTATGAGCCATTCCATACATTATACATTAACACATTAGGAGCTGTATATTTGTGTGACACACGTGCTGGCTCAGTAAGAAACCAACACATCAAAGTTATAGCAAGTATCCTAATGTTAAAGCCTGTTCCAGGCGGCACACCCAGAGCCAGAGCCTCAAGTGCTCTTGTTCCTTTCATCTGCAGACTTCTGTGGTCCTCTTGCCCCACATAATGTCCATGAATGTTGCAACAAAATAACAGCTCCTTGCACACAAGTTGTAAAATCTGATTAATTGAGGGCATTTCACAACTATTTCTATAACCACAGAAGGCAAAAAGTCAAGTCCTAAGTGCACATGAAACAGTTAGTGTGAAGGGCCTCAGCTTTTGTGCAGTCAGCAGCTTCATAATGAGGGACACAGAACATCTCTGGTATGTTGGAAACAAGGGAAACTGGTCAAACTTAAACAAGCTTACACTTTTCATGGACAAATGTTGTCATGTATGCTCTTGCATAACTACTACTCATATGTGTGTGTACCTGGACACCTGTGTCAGGATGATCCACAATAACACATGTTTGTATCGATCAGTGGGAGACCTTTCTGGAACCTGCAGCTTCTGCAGTCGACCTGTGCTTTTAGTCAAATCAATGTTAACAGGATATTGACCAGAAACTAATATAGTACATGTAGTGTTTTATGTAGAGGTGTAACATGATCACACTGTGTATGCTGACCGGAGAGTAGGGATTGTATTCAATACACACATACAAGTCGGCAGAACAATAGAGCAATAAATACACATCTGACAAACCCCTAGTACCTTAATCATCCAAAGGCACGACCTAAGCATTGTTTTGTAAATGATGTAAACAGTTACAGTTTACAATTATCTCCAACAAAGGCACAATCCAATCAACAGATACTTAACAAAGTCACTGCTTTGAGTAGTACTAATAATAATGATTATATTATTCACAGTGCACACAATAGTGATAAACTACTGCTGTAGCCACAGCTGCCCTGGACGTGAGGCTAATCTGCCATGGGATAGAGCTGCATGATTTAGTCATTGTGATTCTTCTGACATTGCAAATAGATTCATTATTCATAAGTACAAGCTAAAACAGACTTTTGAGAACATGTTTGGATCAGGTTTTCCACAAAGCATTAAATGTCTTGTTTTATTTAAAATAGTATTGACGAGAATGAAGTGGGAGAAGTGGGAGTAGCACAAGAGGAGCTGGTATTCAGTGTTTTCTAAGGTTAATGGAATTTCAACATTTTTGTGAGCGTTCTGGATCGAGTTTTCTAAAGTATCAAAACTCAGTCAATCGATACTAAAAATTTGTGAAACTAGATAATAATTTGTAAGACACAATTATTAAACGACAAAATTATATAAACAGGAAAATATTGATATTTTTTCAGCATCCTCAAACTCTATCAGAAGAACTCAGTTAGAAGTTAAAATTACAGTTTATTGTCAAAATGGAATACTTATAGATTATTTTTCTAGTGCGGAATTTTAGTTTGAAGTTTAGTCATGTGACACTAGTTGTGACAATAGTCCTGGCACCAATGTCTTGTTTGGTCTGGAGTTTTTGATGAAGGCTCCCTGTAATTACACACATTTACTTTTTCACTTCTGTGCTGTCGTCATCACTTCTGTCAGATGACCCCAGGGCTTTGTACATTAGCTTTAAGTTTGAGGTTGTAACATTAAGATCTGAGCCTTACAAAAGCATTACAGTTTTTTTTTTAAAGCCTTGTAATTGATCCCTGTGAGATTCAGACTGTGTGCGATGAAGGGCGGACGTGAGGCCAGAGCCGGCTGCAAAGATTTCATGTTATTGAGACGACGTAGGCTAAATGATGTCATTCCTGCAGCCCAGAAGAAACCCACACCAGCGCCTGTGCTTTAAATCTCTAACGTCTAAAGGGGCGTTCACACCGGACTTAACTTCGGCGTCAAAAGCGTCAGGTTTCCATTGAAAGTGAATGGTGAAGCGCGTCAGGTGAAGCCGAGAGCCCCGGCGTCACTTGACGCGCGTCAAAAGCTTCAAGAGTCGCGCGTACTACGCGCTCACTTGAAGCTTTTGACGCGCGAAACGCTCGCGTATCACAACAATCCCTTTGACGCCGAAGTTGAGCAAAGCTGAGCTTTTGAAGCTTTGACGCGGGCTTCAACCAATCAGGAGACGAGGAGCAGCAGCAGCAGAGGGTCTGTCTCTGTCATGGAGAGAAGTCATGTATCTGCTGCTGCTGTTTTATTGTCATTATTGTTATTAGTAATATTATTTGTATGAGTAGTAACATTCTGAGTAACAAAAATCATTGTACACATGCTGTGTAGTAAACGTAGTTTATTTAATATAAGAACAGGCTGACGATGAGTCTGGCTCAGAGCAAGGCAGCTCCGGGCGGGCGAGAGCTGGGGAGAGGCAGGGAGAGGCGAGCGAGAGCCGGGGAGAGGCGGGGAGAGGCAGGGAGAGGCAGGGAGAGGCGAGAGCGAGGCAGGGAGAGGCAGGGAGAGGCGAGCGAGAGCCGGGGAGAGGCGGGGAGAGGCGAGCTCCGGGGTTTGAGAACTCAGACTGGGCGAGTGACATGCGGAAGTACCGCTGAAAGCGAAACTCCTCCGTACGCAGCTCCTGGAGTAAATGACGGAACTCTGCAAACACTGCAGCCTCTCAAGTCTGTGGTGAACCCAGAACATGTTTTGTTGAAGCCCTACAACAACGTTATTTTGCTTTATATAACAAATAAAGGCTCGCTGCTCATTGAAAAATCCACCGCTGTCCTGACTACAGGCAACAGAGAAGCTCCTCCCACCGGCGTCAGGCGCGTCACTCGCGTCAAAAGCTTCAAGCACCAAAATGACAAAACTATCCCAGCGTCAGTTGAAGCGCGTCAAAAGCTTTTTGAAGCTTTTGGTCTGAACGCGCCTTAATACATGTAATCTTTGACAAATCTGCGTTTTCCTCATTTTTCCCTCTCTCCACGAGCATGATGTCACTGGCCATTTGTGCTTTGTCGAACAGCTCTGAGATTCCCGCCCAGTTTCACACACCTTCACTGTTGCCATAACAAACAAGGTGCAGATGACACAACAGGAAGTGGTGTCGGGGGAATCTTGACAGCTCTGCCATGGAGGGGAAGGAAAAAATGAGCAGAAGAATACTCGCTTAAATACACAAACACACTGTTATCATGCAAGGACCGAAACTTTGAAATTGCTCAATAGTTCTTCAATAACGTGTTGGAAGGTGAAATGTGTCATCCTGTAAGAAACTTTTACAGGAGGACACTTACACTTGAGTTGTTCTTTATCAATTTAGGAAGGTTAGAGATGATACAGGACATTTAGGGACATTTAAGGACATTTATTAACATTTATGGACATTAGTCATGCGCCCCTTATGGACCAATGGCTTCTTTTTTTTTTATCATTGCATTTCCTGTTTTCAAACTGTTAGATTTTCTGATCTGTTGTTGGTGTATCGACAGCTTTGTTCGGTCCACCGAGGCGACTGCCGTTGCTAATAAACAATGCAGTCTGTGATTTTTTCCAGAACCATTGGGATTCGTTCATCTCCAACGAACCAATGGGATGCGTTTACCCCCTTCACCCTCTTCCTGTTTCTCGCGAGCGCGCGCACCTGAGTTATCAGATTATTTTCTAAAACCTTAAATAGCTGAACAGAAAATGCCAATTTCACGTTTGCAACCCTCTCTCCCTGTTGTGACAAAGAAAATGCTGGATGTTTGGTTTGGTCAAGGGGGAGGGGGGGGGTGGTTTTGAGTTGGTGCTACGGCTAAGCTAACAAAATTACTACTGCACCTTTAAGGCTATACAAAAATACAGTGAATTGAAAATAGAATAGAATTAAACCCACCGCTTTAGAATGATGTCAAATCTGGGGTAGCTCACTTATTTTGTCCTTAAATAAAACATTCTGATTGTTCCAACAAAGAGTCTTGTAAAAGTAAAATGATGTGAGCAGGTCAAACCACAACATGAGGTCTTCATCTTACAAGAAAACACATTATCTTTAGCATACTTCTAAGATACTATTAGTATCTAAGTCACTATTTGAGGAGGGCTGAAAGAGCGCACTTCACTTTTCCGGAAAAGGTGAAAGAATACAGGCATTTGAAAACCAGTGATAAAACCGAACTGTTTTGAGACTGACAAACTAGTTAAATTAATACAAATTCAAATAAATGATTATTTAAAAATATGGTTAAACGTTACATACCCAAGCTTTACCTAACTGTTGCATGTGTGTCCTTCTTCTTCTTCACAGGGCTGAGAAAACCGAGGTGCTCAGCGATGATCTACTGCAGGTGAGCCGATTGCACAAAAGCAAATTAGACAAACATATATTCACATTTAGATCCATTTGAATTATCCTAATCAGTATTTCTAAGCTGCTAAACCTTTTGAGATGTGCCTCGATCGGCCTCTTATGTCCATGTTTAAAATAATGTGCGTACAGTAGATGCAGGAGGGCTGAACTTTCTAACGTTCCTTCACAGTTTTAGTCATAAAATTTACAAGGCATGAAGTGGCTAATGCAGTGCTCTTGAGTGTACTTCTAACGCTGTTTTGGGGCAGATTGTAATAAAACATAATCTGGTAGACTTACGGTTTCCAATGAATTCTCTGTTAAAGCTATCCAGCCACAGCGACCGTCTAACTTCAACTTATGACATTCTTCCACTGTTGCCGCACCACATCTGGCAACGCAAAAAAAAAAAACGTACCGAACATATTTTTCAATTCTTTTTTTTTTGACGTTGTTTGCGTAAGTACATGGGCGCAAGGAAAGGAAAGGGTTCACGTCTGGGAGTGGAAAAACCTTGAGCAAGCTTTAATTAGTAGTTTTATGACATGTAGCGGTGATCTTTGAACCCTGTGTGGCTTGTAAGTGGTTTTGCAGAGGAAGTTTCGTTTTTGTGCCTAAGTTTGCATTTATCAGCCGTATCCAAAGCATTTTTCCCATCAACGCTACTATTAATCATTTTGTCCTTGGCCTCAATCTTATGTTTTTGTTTATCACCAAAAGCTACACGGATAAGCTAACGGAGCTCAAGGGCTGGAACATTATTGTCAGACGTGTTATTGACGTATATTGGATTTGATAAATGAAACTGTGATATAGATATAGCTGCAGGAGACTACGACAGATGGGTCACACAGAGATTGCCGGATGTTTCATGCATCTGTTTCTATTGCCCTGGTTTTAAATACCTGCATTTGGAAGCCAGATCCTGTCAGACTTCTGAAGCTAAGCAGGACAGGGCCTAGTTAGTACTGTGATGGGAGACCTCTGTGAACACCAGGTGCCACAGTGGGGCCGCTGCAGCTGTAAAGTGCCAAGCTGTCGTTGTGTCCTTAGGCAAGACATGTCACCCACATTGCCTAGAATGAGTCTGGTGTGTGAATGGTTGGTGGTGGTCGGAGGGGTCGATGGCACATATTGGTATAGCTTCGCTTCTGTCAGTGTGCCCCAGGGCAGCTGTGGCTACAATAGTAGTTTATCATCACTGTGTAGTATTTTTACATGTAGGAGTGAAAGAATTATGACATGTGAAGCATCTTTGAGTGTCCAAAAAAAAGCTCTGTATAAAACCAATGCATTATTATTAGTATTATTATGGAATGTGGAAACTAAAAACACCAGAGACATTAATTTCTTTCTGAATGGATGAATGCTACAGCTCAAAAGAACCTTTTTCTCAGCTTTATATAATTGGTTTGTAAATGGTTCCACTCAGCCCTAATAAGTGGATGTTTTCTCCCATTCCTTGGTGCTTGTCTCACTGGCAGCACTGCTGTAGACATTCCTTTTGCTCATTACAAAGAGCAACACATGGAGATCTATTAGAGATCGTCCATACTTGTAAACGGCAACTTGAAGCTGATTTTCATTTGTGGTTGTTTTTATGCACTGCCCCCAAGAGCACACAGATCCTGCTGGGACAGGTTTGCAGTGTTGATCCAGCAGAGAAAGCTGTCAGACTAGAATTGTAAACTTCCAAAATGACAGATTTGAATGATTTTGTGTCTTCACTTCCTACATACACTAAGGACAAGGCGGGTGATTAGGGCGTAAATAAAAATCTAAAGTTTCAATGGCGGTTAATACAAATCTGTGTGGTTTTAACTTTTTATTCACAAAGAGTTAGAAAACAAGTTAATGCTTGGTATCTCACTTACTTGGTTTATAAATGATATCTATCATATAATTTATTGATCCCCATAAGAGAAATTCAGGTGTCCAGTAGCAGCAAAAATAAAACATAAAATTAATCGTTAAAAATAGTAATAATCAGCAACAGTCCTTCGGTTCACAGCAGCAGAGGTGGAGTAACCGCTGGGTGGAGCAGGACAGGTCACAATGTGGAGTAGCCGCTTGGTCTGGACCATTTTCTCTGCTCTAGTCCAAAGTAAAAAGCTGAATGCTTCATTAGCAAAAAGTTAGCATTCCTCCGGTGGATTTTCACCTGATCCACATGGTTCGGACCATGAATCCTCTCCGCTCCGGTCTGGACCAGTGTAAAACCATGAACACTGTACTGCAGCAACCTCTCAGGTAGAAAAAAGCTATAAAAATAAAATTCAAAAGCACAAAACAACAACTGTTTCAGAGCTACTTAGGACTTGCTGCCGTTTTCCAATGCATTCAAAAGTAAAATAATACATGTGTTCTAAAAGTAAATTAAAAGAACTCGTCAGACCACTTCCGCAGTCTTCATCTTAGTAGAAACCATGCTATTTTTCACATATTTTTAAGAAAGAGCCCCGTGAGTGACTATGACGTTTTGGGCTGAGTGAGGGTGGACCTCTCTTTTTCACTTTGCTCTCTGAAAAATCTGATCTAAAGATGAGACAAAAGCCCAAAATACTTGCATGTGAAACCTATTTTATTACAGAGTTACATTACCCTAACTTTAACTGATAGATTAAAGTACGGAAAATAGTTGTTTTTAACCATGGTCAGAACACTGATGTTTTAGTGCAGAGACATTTCGACCGTGAAATATTTGTTTTTGCAAATTACCGACATTGATCACAGTTCCCTCATTTCCAAATATCAACACAGATTTAACCGTAGAAGTTCAAAGTAACAATATCATCACACTTGTTCCTTACACACTTCCTCTTCTCTCCGCCCTGGATGAGATCTCTTCTGAATCTGTGACTTGGACATAATCACTAAAAATCAAACAAGCAATCTCTCTAGGGTTGTTCTCCAGCGGCATCACGTTTGGTCAAATGACTTCCCCAACTAATCAATTATGAAAAAATACTCTCAGCCCTTTATGAAGTCATGTGTGTGATTTTCCACTGAAGGCGGGAAATCACACATATGATTCTCCTCACAACAGATATCATTATTCAGCATTTCAGTCACTTACGCACATTTGCACAAGAAGACGAGACCTTTCGTTCCCTATGACAGAAACATTTTTATTTTGCTTTAGAAACTACTTTTTTGCGCAATGTTGTTTTCATGCCTAAGAGGTCTGGAGCTACAAGTGAAAGTTGATAAAAAGTGAATTTATTTCTGTAATCCAACTTCAAATGTGAGACCAACACATGATTATTGCACACAAAGTGACATATAAACCAAGCCTTTTGACAATTATCCTTACAGGCCATTTCCATACTATTATAATCTGCTGCTATAATAAGCTGTTCCCCAAATGTCAACAAATACATGTAATAAGCTTATCAGAATTTCTCTCCAAAAAAGAAGTTCTGTCTGTATTTTCACGTCCCAGCTCTTTTGTTCCGCCCACACAACTTCAGCCTGGCCTCTTTTTATTATTAGCCTTTTTGGCACTAAATGCACGACGTCTGGAGTCAATCAGTGTCTCCTAAAAAGCATTAATCACAGCCTGCGATCGATATGGGATCCAAACTCCAGTTGTGGTCTGACCCAATGCAAGAGTCCGTCTCAACAATATCGAAAGAAATATGGAATGTCTTGAGCATTCATAAGTCTTTCTCTCACTAGTTACAACCAGACAGTCCTATTGCGTTCTTATTCATTGTTATTGTACAGAGATGGGAGCATGAGCAGAACTCCCTCTGTGCTGTTCTGAGACGACCATAAAGGAACTTAACTGGAGATGGGAATCACAATCAAAGACTGTTTACACTGAGACGACAAGAGGAAGTTTGTAATGAACCATGGAACAATTTTCTTCCCTTTGAATTTCTGCATTTTGATCAGGGCAGATGAAGGAATAGCAATGATCGTCTGCAATTTGCCATTACACAAATACACATATAAACTGCGTCGAGAATTGTCATGACACAATATTTAAAGATGGCGTGTGAGCTGCCTGTTCTGGAGGTTCTTTATGAATCCAGACTCTTAAAATGATCAATGATTCTTCTGGTCCCCTGGAAAAGCCATGTTACTGCTTCTTCCCTCTGGCAAAACGAGATGTCCTGTATCTTGACGAGCGATAACAACCTCTGTCCACAAGCTGTGACCACTTTAAACCAGTGGTGTCATTTTGGTCGGGGGCAAAGTTTAAAAACCTAAGATTTATTTTGACAATTTGATTTAATTTGATTTAATATGAGTTTGGACAATATTTTCTACTAAGTTTAGATTCAATCACAACTGGGTCAATTATCAAAAATATCTGAAGAATCATTGTTAAATATAAAAAATAGATCTTAACATAATTTTTAATTACATGTTAGTTAACATCCATCCATCCATCCATCCATTTTCTTCCGCTTCATCCGTTGCCGGGTCGCGGGGGCAGCAGTCTAAGCAGAGACGCCCAGACTTCCCTATCCACACACACTTCCTCCAGCTCGTCCGGGGGGACCCCAAGGTGTTCCCAGGCCAGCTGGGAGACATAGTCCCTCCAGCATGTACTGGGTCTTCCCCGGGGCCTCCTCCCTGGGAAGACCGGGGAGTTAACATTTTAGAACAAATTCAATTATATGGTTGTTTACCTGAGAAAATAAGCTTTAAAATGAAGTATAACATGCTCATTACCACCAATGCTGCAAGTTACTGTAATAATGATAATGGAAAATCCTTTCAGGGGCCACTAAAATGGTCTCCAGGGCCGGATTTGGCCCACGGGCCTAGGTTTGACATGCCTGGTTTAATGCACTTAAATGATCTTGCATTTGTATTGAAACTGTTTTTTGTTGACTGTTTTCACAGTTCTTTTTAAGTTTGTTTAATTCTTGTACCGTGTTTTATCTATGTACTTGTCTGGTGCACACTGGGGACTTTTGCAAATGTTTTCCAATGTGGTTTTAGATAGATAGATACTTTTTTGATCCCTGTAGGAGAAATTCAGGTGTCCAGTAGCAGCAAAAAACAAACATGTTTTTAATTTTTTTTTTTTTTTTTTTGCGAATGGCGATTAAACTGATGTGAATGTGACCTGTGTGTGTAATGCCTGTTGCAGATTGAGAAGAGAATGGAGTTGGTTCGTCTGGTTTCCCACAACGCTCACAAGAGGCTGGTGTGTTGTCTGCAGGGGCAGCTGGGCACAGACACAGAGAAGAGACACGTATGTAACAAGGGCTGTATTTTCACACTGCGCCTCAGGACTTTGCACCGTCGTAAATGTGTTATAACTTTGTAAACAACATGGCTACATGTGGAGGGATGCAGCTCCCACAGGAATGTCAAGTGATCCAGTGTGACTGCAGCGTCAGTGGTCGCAAGGCCTCGCTAATGAGAGCAACGGGCAAATGGCTTCTCCGCTTATGTAACGCTGATACTCAGGAGACAAATATTCAGCTTTGGACGAGGGCCAGGTATTTCCTCTGAACAGGACTCTGCTTTTGGCCACGAGTCTGGAAACGGCTATCGGGATATTAGTGTTATTATTATTCACATTATTCAGAAAGTTGATTGAGCATCGACATAATGACTTTGGTTGTATTTAGTTCATGACAAATACAAACTCAGAAAAATTTGATAATTGTTCAAAAATGTATTAACTTAAAATGTGAAACCAATATATGATATAGACTCATTACTGTATGGTCAAAGTGACGCATGTCAAGCCTTTGTTTGTTAGAATTGTGATGATTATGGCTCTTTTGGGCGGCACGGTGGCTGAGTGGATAGCGCTCTCAGCAAGAAGGTCGTGGGTTCGAATCCCGGTCGGACCAGGGCCTTTCTGAGTGGAGTTTGCATGTTCTCCCCGTGTCTGCGTAGGTTTCCTCCGGGTACTCCGGTTTCCCCTACCACTAAAAATATGTCCAATAGTTCTAGCATGTGCCTCCTGTACTGGCGACCCCGCTCCCATCTCTGTGTGGAGTGAGAGACAAATGCCCAAAATTAACAATTGTAAACCGCTTTGAGACTCAGATCTGCAGTGAAAAGGCGGTATATAAATAAAGATTACTTACTAAATTACTTACCTTTATAGAATATTTTCAAAATATTTTTCATTTTCTGAGATGTTTTATTTGGGTTTTTACAGCTGTGAGGCAGATGGATCCAAATTTTAACAAGTAAATGCTTGATTTATCTCAGTTTGTGTGTAATGAGTTATGTATTAGCTTCACATTGTAAGACAAATTCCATGACTCTAAAGCTGTTTTACAGAAACATTTGCAATTGAATAAAGGTTGACCTTTTTACAAAAATCCTTTAACATCCTAGTTCAACGACAAGTTTCTGTTTCCTTTGTGGAGATGAACTGGATTCCTCTCATTGGACTAAGTTCCAATGCTATAGAGGGGCTGTGTTTCCATATTTAGAAATAAAACGTGGAGTGAGTGGAAGTAGTTCTTTTACAAAAGTCAGTATTGTTAAATTGAATACTTGTGAAATAATAAAGGTTGGAACTACCTGTTTGATGAAAAACAGTCCAGGTGTTAGAAACATATGTTTAACAGCAACTTTGGACTTTGAACAAAAAAGCACTTCTCAGCCCGGCACAATAACACAGAAATGTATTTAAATAAACACGTACTATTAAAACTCAACCTGAAAACAACTAAGTCTAAATAAGAGCTGCAAATATTGTTCCAGCTGTTTGCCTGAGCATCAAGTAACAATGTAAGTAAGTAAGTAAGTAAGTTATTATTTATATACCGCCTTTTCACTGCAGATCTGAGTCTCAAAGCGGTTTACAATTGTTAATTTTGGGCATTTGTCTCTCACTCCACACAGAGATGGGAGCGGGGCCAGTACAGGAGGCACATGCCAGAACTATTGGACATATTTTTAGTGGTAGGGGAAACCGGAGTACCCGGAGGAAACCTACGCAGACACGGGGAGAACATGCAAACTCCACTCAGAAAGGCCCTGGTCCGGCCGGGATTCGAACCCAGGACCTTCTTGCTGAGAGGCGAGAGTGCTATCCACTCAGCCACCGTGCCGCCAATGCTTTTTTTATTGAACACAAAGGTTTCAATTGTGCAGTATTTGTTTATTTTCTCCAGAAAAAGCTGCCTTTGACGGCTCTGTCCCAGGCCATGCAGGAGGGGGGCGGTCAGCTGGGAGACGAAAGCATGATTGGGTGAGAATTATCCATCAAAATAAATATTAATAAATACATACATTTTGCAGCCACAGTTGAAAATATAAGGATGTAACTCTTAATTTGTAATGTTGGGGTTAAACAGTAAAATGATGGATGCGTGTGGAGAAGCCGAGAGCAAACTGGCCTCAGAGCTGATGCATCACGAGGTTCTCCTGGAGCGGGACGTCCTGGAGCCTCTCAATCAGCTGGCAGAGGTTCTATCACTTCTCATTACGTGGCACTATTCTCTACCATGTTTTTAAAAACAATTTTTTTATGAGTAATCAAGTTTCCCACAGTCGCATCAGTCGTAAAATACAAGTTTGTTCTCGCTCTCGTTCTCCCAGGTGGATATTCCAAACATATTAAAGCAAAGGAAGCAACTGGCTAAACTGGTGTTGGATTACGATTCAGCCAGGACAAGGTTACACACTTTTCTTCGCGCAACTACCGTATTTTTGTTTGTATTTTTTTGTGTGTAAACTTTGGTCTGTGCCCTCTACAGATGGTACCAAGCAGTGAAGTCGAATAACCCAGCCATGGCAGCTAAGGTGGACTCCCTCAAAGATGAAATGGACGAAGCACATAACAAAGTAGAAATATGCAAGGTCAGTAATGATGAATGAATCGCACGAAAATGTTTAATGATGGTGTTAATTGTGTTTTGTGAAAAGTCTAAAACTGCATCGTTCACATTTTAAATCCCACATTTCTCTTTTGAAACTTACAGGACCAGCTCTCGGCAGATATGTACAACTTTGCTTCTAAAGAGGGAGAATACGCGCGCTATTATGTCATGGTGGGGACGCTTGCTCAGCAGATTGGACTTTTTCTTTTAGATATTTACTTTTATAAAAACCAAATCTCCTTCTCTTCCTGCGTTTCCAGCTGCTGAAGGCCCAGGCTGACTTCCACAGACAATCCCTGGCCGTGTTGGAGACGGCGATACCCACGATACAAATACAACAAGGTGCTGCATTCTTCACTCTCTCACAGCAATATGAAAAGTTCAAAATGAAACCAAGTGGATTTGTTTTTGGCCAGACTCCTGGATGGAGAAGCCTGCATTTGGTACAGAACTGGAGGAGCATCTGAAGAGGAGTAACCGCGAGATCGCGCTGCCGTTAGAGGCCTGTGTCATGATGCTCCTGGAAACCGGAATGAAAGAGGAGGTATGTAAGATAAGGACTTTTGCTTAGAGTCAAACTATTTCAAGAAACGAGTCAGCTGACTTCCTTTGCACCTACCACGACCATGAAATCTTTTTATGTTTGTTGGTATTTTTACAGAAGGATAAAAAATACACACACTAAACAATGCTCACTCGAAATATAGTTTTACTGCTTAAGCATTCTCACGTTTTTATGCATTCTTTTGATAGTGTTTATGCATGCTTTTATATCTTTTTTTGACTATTTTTGTATTACTTGTTATTGCACCATATGCCAAGGCAAATTCCTAGTATGTGACTTCCTGTTTTTTACAAAGGCAATACAAGTTTTCTGATTCTGGCATGCGTTGGCTTCAAAGAGTCAAAATGGTCTGTTTATTCCTTTCAAATCAGGATGTATTATGATATAAAAGATAAAGGGAAAGTCCTAACTCTGATACTTGAAGGATTGTGTTATTGCATCGCTAATGTATTCCCCTAAAAATATACAGCATTTTCTAAAAAATAACTGATTTTTTTGGGTCTATTCAAGAAAATCATAAAAAGAATGCCCGGGTCCTACTCTATAAGTGGCCATTGTGCTGTGGAGTAGTATCACTGATAAATCAATGGTTGTATTTATACATGATATTGATTGTTTGTAAGAACCTAAACGGACCACTCCACAAAGTTTTGTTCTCACTTACATAGTCGACTGTGATAATTCAAGTCCTACGCTTTCTCAATTCCTCCTTATGTTTGTTTAACTTCTTCTTTGTAGATTCCAGTACTTCTGTTTTCGGTCTGAAACTGGTCTGTTCCTGTCTAAAGCATGCGCCTTTTGTTTCCCCTCAGGGCCTTTTCCGAATAGCTGCTGGTGCCTCTAAACTGAAGAAACTAAAAGCAGCGTTGGACTGTTCCACTTCACAGCTCGAAGAGTTTTACTCGGATCCCCACGCCGTGGCCGGTACTGCTTTTTCTGTAACTGAGGCTGTATCTGAAATCTTAAAAACTACCTCCTTGTCCTATCCATAGACCTTATATGGTTTGATCAAGTTACATCCTTTAAAATGTAGAATGTCCATGTGTAGGAGAAGGAAGGATAAGGACTGTTATTAATGGTGTGTCTGTGTTTGTGTCTGTGTCTGTCTGTGTGTCTCTGTGTGTCTGTGTGTGTGTCTGTGTGTTTGCATTTGCAGGGGCCCTAAAGTCTTACCTGAGGGAGCTTCCTGAGCCTCTGATGACGTTTGACATGTACGATGAGTGGATACAAGCCTCTAAGTAAGAGGAGGACTCACCTGCAGTGAAATGTGTCTATAGGGGACACGCCTATGCTCTGTACATCTGTTTCCAGGACAAGCTCTCCCAGCTCAACGTGCCCGATTCCACCTGCAGGTGGATCACTGACTTCCTGACGGACAGGAAGCAGCGAGTGCGTCTGGGGAAGAATGTCTCGGACTCTCGGATTATAAATACAGGAGCCCCACAGGGCTGTGTTCTTTCTCCCCTGCTCTTCTCCCTGTACACCAACCACTGCTAAAACCTCCAGCCACGACTCCGTGAAGCTGATCAAGTTCGCGGACGACACCACCCTCATTGGACTTATCTCCAACAACGATGAGTCCGCCTACAGGAGGGAGGTGGACCGGCTGGTGTCCTGGTGCAGTGGTAACAACCTGGAGCTGAACGCCCAGAAGACAGTGGAGATGATTGTGGACTTCAGGAAGAGCACTGTCCCCCCGCCCCCACCCTCCGTGATGGACTCCCCCATCACCTCTGTGGAGTCCTTCCGTTTCCTGGGCACCACCATCACCCAGGACCTCAAGTGGGAGCCGACCATCAGCTCCCTCATCAAGAAGGCCCAGCAGAGGATGTACTTCCTGCGGCAGCTCAGGAAAGCCAAGCTGCCTGCACAGATGTTGATGCAGTTCTACACGGCCATCATCGAGTCCATCCTCACCTCCTCCATCACCGTGTGGTTCGCTGGAGCCACAGTCAGGGACAAACAGAGACTACAGCGCATTGTGCGCTCTGCAGAGGAAGTGATCGGCCGCAGCCTTCCATCGCTGCAGGACCTGTACGTCGCCCGAGCTCGAGGCCGGGCTGGTCGTATCACAGCCGACCCCTCTCACCCTGCACATGGACTATTCCAACCACTCCCCTCAGGCAGGAGGCTGCGGTCCATCAGGACTAGAACCTCCCGCCACAAGAACAGTTTCTTCCCCTCTGCTGTTGGACTCTTGAACACTTCTTAACCTGTCCCCCCGCCCTTTATAAAGTCACTTTACTGCCCATCATACGTCACTTTACTTCACTGTACTGCTGTCACCTTACATTGTGTGCACCATGTGCACTTGTATATTGTAAATAGTAACTGTAACTCTATTTTAAATTTAAATTTATTCTTTAGAAGTGTTTTTTATTCTTATTTTTATTATCTCTTTTTGACTGTTGCACTGAGCCAAAGCAATTTCCAAGTCTGTGACCTCCCGTTACTTACGTTGGCAATAAAAATGATTCTGATTCTGATTCTGATTCTGATTCTGATTGTGTAACCGGTAATAACTTGTGTTGCAGCGTATCGGACTCGGACAAGAGACTCCAGGCCTTGTGGGTGACATGTGATCAATTACCAAAGGCGCATAAGAGCAATTTTAAGTAAGATCATCATCACTTTCTCGGGTCATAGTACGAAGCTGTAACAGACGGATCTAATGTTGCCTTTTAGATGACAAAAAATCAAAATGGTGTTTTTCATATGAACTTTCTGTTGCAGGTATCTTGTTAAGTTTCTGGCGAGACTTGCTCAAGACAGTGAAACAAATAAGATGACTCCAAGTAACATTGCAATAGTTCTGGGGCCCAACTTGCTCTGGCCAAAGACAGAAGGGTGAGTAAAGCAATGGACTGTATACCAAATTAAATTTCTTTTCAGAGGTCGGATGATATATTAATATTTTGACAAAATTGTTGCTCATTGGTCTTAGAATCTTTCCTTGTTAGAGCCATATAGTTATTACTCAAGACAAGCTCATTTTGCCTGGAAAACCAATTACACCATTGATTTAATTTTTCATCTTCATTTAGTATGTTTTGTGTGTGGCTCGGGGTGGTGTCAGCGCACATGCTTATGGACGTTTTTGAGGCGGGACCCGCCCCCACTGGTTTCAATCCAAGCATAACTGTACTCAATCTAAAAAGAGTTTTCAAACCCAAACTTTGTTTAAAAATTAAATACACAAAAACATATCCACAGACGCAAAAGATGAGCTACAAACAAACCGTCCACAAATAGAATACTGGAGATCTTGGTATGCATTTGTTCTTCTTTCAATATCCATCAAAGCATTATGAAATACAGTAACCTCTAATTAGCGGATTAGCGTTAGCAACAATCCACTGTTTATGAGAAATCAAAGTTAAAATCAGTAATTGGCCAGTATTAGTTTTTAAAAATCCACATCGGTATCACCCATCGAAAACCCCAATTGTCAACCTCAAGTTCTTTACTCGTTCATTTCTGTCTCCAGAACCTTGGCAGAGATGGCCGCTGCGACTTCTGTAGCTGTGGTCGCAATTATTGAGCCCATCATCCAACACGCGGACTGGTTTTTCCCTGAAGGTCAGATGCTTTTCTAAGGAGCCCAAGTATATGACTGTACTGTAAACTGTATACTGTACATAAAAGAAACAATAGCTCATGCTATATGTGTGTTTTATCACCAGAAATGGATTTCAATGTGTCTGGGATGTTTTCCCTACCTACTCACCCACCAACCCCGGACCCTGAGCCCAACCTGGAGAGGAGGCGTCCTGGCAGCCAAGGGGGGTATGAAGGGGAATCTCATCCCCCCCGTAAAGACAGGTACCTGTCCCGGGCCAACTTGAGCCTCAGCCTGCCCCTCCCATCCCGCCCCAAGACTCTGAGCAGACAGGAGTCAAAGGGTGCTGTGTCAGCTCTGTATGTTGTGGCAGATGAGTCTATCAGAGTGTCTGAGAGCCCAGCTGAAGTAAAGCTTGTCCAATAAACCATTTGAATCCAGGAGAAGTTTAAAAAGGCCATTTTGATTTGTGTAAACATTCTGACATTGCTCATTGGTAAATGTGATATTATTCTGATTGGTAATCAACACAATAATTATTATTCCTCCATATAAGTCCTGAATTGTTCTTTTCTGTTTGTGTGTGTTTTTTTTAATTAAAACTCAGGTTAACTCTAGGAGCTGGTTCTGTCTTCTGTGGGCTTCTTCTGCATTTGTTCCAACTTCTGCTTTGTCTCAGCTCATTTTTCTGTTCAAATCTTAGGAAAACTCTTCTGTGCCTTTTGTTCTGGTTTGATACAGCACCATATGGTGGTGTTGACAACTCAGTGTTCTTTCTGCTATGAGTTCATAGAGCCATGGTTACAAGGGTAACTTCCTGTGTCTGTCTGGGTTTGGTTTGTGTCCTGAACACTCTGCCCTTTACTCCTCACCAGCACCAGTAACAAACACCCGGAGCCCGCTCCTCGTAGATCCGGCACTGTTCATAAAAAGCAACCACTAACCTCACCTACCTTTCAACCCCCACTGCCCCCTCTGGAGGGGTGGGGTGCTGCACAGTCTGAGCCCCAGGCCCTGTGTCCACCTGCAGAGGCTGCGCTGAGTGTGGCTGCTGCTAATGCTGTTTCTGTTGGTGGTGGGGCCCCTACAGCAGAGCAGCCCCTTGTAGTCCAGGTCACCTCAGACAACAGCAGGTAAGACCAGCACCCTGCCGCCTGCCTGCAGCCAATCAGCCGCCTGGAGCTTTCCCCTCACTTTTGTTCTTTGTGCGACTGTGTTATGCTGTTCATGTTCGTGAATAAATCATACAACTTCAACGTTCACGGTACAGATGTGTAGTACTACTACTACTACTACTACTACTACTGCTATTACTGTAGTAGCGTTGTTGAAAAGCTTCTCTTCATGCTACTGTCAACTATTCAATTTATAAATCATGTCTTATTCTGTCATTCTTGTTTTCCTGTTTTTGATGTTTGTGTCAGTGATTTTGGCATGCACGTGATTATTTATATGTTTTAATACACTGCATGGGATCTACTAACCTAAAAATGCCTTTATTTCTCCAGCCCTGCTCGAGAGCTCACTTCTACGCCCCCTTCACAGAGGAATGGATCGATCCACCTCGGAACACCACAGTCCCTCAACAGGACCAGGGGGGCTAGCCCGCAGATGATGCGAAGAGGTGAGATCCATTTCGTTTCAATATTAGAATAGTAAATACAGTTTCTCAGCCCTTAAAACATAATTCAAGCGCACAAAGATGAACAGTGAAAATAAGTGCAATGACTAGAAATCATAAAATAGTGTTAATTATTCCGCAGTTACCCACCCTTCATACATACAAGCATTCTAGAGTGTAATAGCTGTGGGCAGAAAGGACTTCCTATCTTAGCTCCAGCTGAGGGTGGTCATACAGCTACAATATAGTTAGAATTCAGTCTTAATCAGAAAATAAACAGTACTTTTATCTTGGTCTTTCAGTGTGGTTGTGTATGTTGTCTGCTTCCATCATTGTTAGTGAATACAGCTGTTCTGGTTTACGAGTCAAGGTGAACGTCTCGCCACAATGCCTGCACATCCTGTTTCATTTATTTAACTCACTTTCATTTCTTTTTTTGTGTGAGCGCTGTGTGAGAAAGTAAGCTTTATTTATACAGCGCCTTTCACAGACCAAGGCCACAAAGCGCTTCACAGTTTAAACAGACAAAATACAATTTAAAATCTGCGTACAAAAAATAAAAATATAATGGCAAGACAACTCGGTGACAGGTTTGTTACAGCCGCAAGAAAATTATGTAAAATCTTGCCCAAATAAATAGGTTTTTAGCTGACCTTTGAATGAATCAACCGACTCCATCAGCCACAGAGAGAGCGGAAGATTGTTCCAGAGCTTAGGCGCAACAGCCTGGAAGGACCGTTCTCCCCTGGTCCGAAAGCGCGTGCGTGGGACCATCAACAGGTTCTGATCCACAGACCTCAGGGCCCGAGTGGGGGTATAAGGCTGAATCAGATCGCTGATATAAGGGGGAGCCTGACCGTGCAGAGCTCTGAACGTCAGCACCAGTATTTTAAAATGTATCCTGTAGGACCGTGTCCTACAGGATACATTTTAGCCAGTGGAGAGCTTTGAGGATCGACGATATGTGAGTCCTCCTGTTTGTGCGCATGAGAACCCGAGCTGCAGAGTTTTGCACTAACTGCAGACGCAACAGCTCCTTCTTGTTCAGACATGAAAACAAACTGTTACAATAATCTCAACGAGAAGACACAAAGGCATGGATTATAAGCTCCAAGTCGTTCTGTGACACCATTTTCTTAAATTTGGAGATGTTTTTCAGCTGAAAGAAGCAGTTTTTGGTCAGCTGTTTGCAGTGTTGAACTAGTGACATATCCTTGTCATAAAAAACACCCAGATTTTTAAGTGCTAATTGTAGAAAGCACATTTAGCATTTTTCACTGCACACGGATAAAACCATATATATTAATTTCAAACATTTATTTTCAGGTACAAAGAAGCAGGCTCCAGCTCCTCCCAAACAGGCCAGCCCATTCTCATCTCAGTCCAATATCCAGACGCCTGGCTCCCCACACCCCACCGTCACCCCCAGACGCAACCCCAGCAAAGAGGCTCTCATTGCAGTTCCCAGTCACCCACCACCACAGCCTCCTGCGTCCCACCAGAGCCCAACCGAGTCGGAGCCCTCACCCCCACGGACACCCACCCCTCCCAACACTCCCCCTCACGATGGACCACCCCCTGTGCACCTGTACGGCTCCCTGCCTCGCCCCAGCCGCCCCGCCCCCAAGCCACGCCCACGGCCCAGCATACCCCCGCCACCACAGCCTGGGGGAAACGAGAGTAACGGGATTTGCAACTCTGCCTCCAAAATCATCACAGGTAAATACAAAACAAATGATGGTTTATAGTAATTAGGAAAAAGCTGGTTAATTGTTATGATGGAAGTTGTAAACACAAGATTTGTAACAAGTCTCCTAAAACAATGTTCTCTTGATGTGTGTTGAACAAGTCGTCTGTAGGTGGAATGGCCAAAATTATGCTCTTGCCATCTGCTGATACTGAATAAGTATCACATAATTTTGGCTTCTCGTAAAGGCTCGTAGGCTCATTGGTCTCTGGTGTCACTGTTACGATGCTTACACTTACTCATAACTGTGGTGATGTCATGCATGATGGTAAATGTGTAAATATTCCAGATGTGTGAGCAGCTGGCCTGCCTCTAAGAGCAGCTTTGCAAGGCAGGTAATGGTAAGGATTCCAATGGCTGATGGGTTTGCCCTGCTTTGGTTTAACTGCATGTGTTGCTGTGTGGGATGTGCTCAGGAGTCCATCGTTCAGTTTGTCGGAGTGTGTCTTGTGTGTAGCCTTCCATTAACAACATTGACATGCTTTGTTTACTAAAAGGCCTTCAGCATTATTCTGCTGCTTTCAGCTTCACCATTTTATTTCAATCTCTGCTTTGAGTTTTGTATGTTTCAAACAAAGTGTTGTTAGTTGTGAAACATTATTTCACACTAAGTATTTTCCTCTGATACTTCGTGTTCCCCAGTTGGTTTGAAACATCCCTTAAATGTTGCTTGTCCATTACATTCACCATTTTGACCATTAACCTCACTTCCTGCTCTAACTAGTATTTTACATATTTGTGTAGACGCAGGACCCATTCTCAAAGGAACTGGCCGAGCCTTTGTCCCAGCGGTCATGGTGGTGCAGCCGGAGGATCGTTCTGCTGCTGGTCAGGAGCCTGACTCCGCCCCCTTCTCTGAGCTGGTCACAGAAAGCACCGTTCTGTGAGGAGTTCTGACTGAACATTGTTTCTATCTCATCTGGAGGAAACCGCAGCTCTGGAAAGAACCGCTATGCACGTTTTCTACCTGTCGAAACATTGTAAACTTGTACTATCCTGCACAAGCTATTATTGTTGTAAATGCCAGACAATGTCCTGTTGTCTTAATATTCACAAATGAATGAGAACTGTGATGAAACTATATAGTTTAAGTTCACATTCTATTTGCCACTTTTGTACTTCAGCTTCGATTCTAATTTAAGACATAAGATCTGCCAAACTAGCTCTGAAATGCACAACTTAAAGTGACCAAAGAAATAATGAAAATAATAGTTTAACCAAATGCCTTGAGGAAAAGATATAATATATATATATCTAATGTACTAATGTACATAGATATATACAAGTCTGAGATGGCTGAAATATCAGTCCAGTGCTTATATTTATTGCAAGTTTATTTTTAAAAACATTTGACCAAAGTGGGTTTTATTCTATGCATTCATTGAATTTAAAATACTTCACTCTTAAGTTAAATGCAATGCAACAAAGCCAAAATATTTTTTTTTAAACAAATATCAATGCCCACTCTGTATTTCTTTTGTATATTTGATGTTTTTATTTCCTGCCAAATTTTTGTTTTTCTGCACATACAGAAATGCCTATACATTGATTAAATTGTTTAACTATCAGCTTCAGTTTTATTTTTGTAAATAAATAAAAAATATATGCACATGAAATAAAAGGTTTAGGACATACACACAAAGTTTAAAACCAGTTGCTTTTTGATTTCTCACACCCAGTAGCCAAAAATAAATACTGTTACAGTCAGCGAAATGATGAGATTGACGTTTACAATCATTTTGAGATGTGGCTTTTCGTCCAGTGAATCAACAGCCGGAGGCTCAGGGGGAGGAGGGGGGCTGTGATCCTGTCGGCGCTCCAACCCACACAGCCAGTAGAGGGCAGACATGAGCCGCGACTGACGCACGCTCACAGAAGATGACGTGGATGCTACAAATAATAGAATTCAATAGATTGTTTTCAAAGCTCCCACGTGACTTGCATGTTCTGCACTCACCCCTGTGTTCAGATGGATCTCTGGTGTCTGTGTGGTCTGTCTGAAGGTCATTATTGTCCTCTGCCTTGTTACTGCTCTGCTCCACTGTGGGCACCTGCGTCTGTACAGGGTCAGACTTTGTGAACCAGGTGAGGCGAGAAATCTACCACACAGGAACAAAAAGCCAATTGAAATATGCACGGTTAAAAAGTGAAACACATAAAAAAATAAATTTAAATAAGTGGAACGCAAGGCCACACTGCAAACACTGAATTAGATTAGATTCAACTTTATTGTCATTACCATTTCAGAACAAAGCAGTTTAGCATCTAACCAGTAGTGCAGTAGCGCGAGTATAGTAAATATTTACATATGTGAGACTGTACAAAGCTGCTATTGCATATACATTAATTACTGTATATTATATTACATTACAGTGCATCTAATGGGCTTTAACAGAGTGAGTACAGGAGTGACTGCTCTGTGATGATAAAAAAAAAATCTATTGGAGTATCTGGACTTTTTTTTTTTTAACTCAAACTAAAATTACTATCATAGATAGATCATAGAAAAAAAAAAGATTTCAAACACAGACATATCAAAAAGATGTGGATAAAATGAAAAGAAAAGATTGACAAATATTGGCTAAATGTTAAACAACCAGATCAGCCTCTGATTGGATAAGGCGACTGACTCCAGTTATATAGAAAATAAAAGGTCCTCAGTCTGAAAAAGAGTCAGATGAACTCCCACAATATAAACATGGCTAACAAAACATCAGTAAATCACTTGTTTTAAAAAGGATTTTTTTAAAAATATATATTCAAAACAAATTTAAATGACCCTTGAAAAATGTGTAACAGACATGATGGTTTCCGTCAAAACAAAAATCTAAAAATTAAACTTGAGGACAAAACAATGATGGTCTGGTTTCACAATTGATTTACTCTATTAAAGTAATCACTTTGTTTCTACTCTAAAAAATCTATTAATCAAAGGTGGACATCTGAAAATATGTAACAAACTTCAGCAGCTCATTCAGCCAAAGGATCACGTTTTTTACACAAATAAACAGAGCCGCTATAGAAAACTTGACCAATGTATAAAACAGTTACTTTCTAGGAATTACTAACGGACTGAAGAAGGAATGGGATTTGGATAAATGAAAAACATCAAATATCTATTTTGGCCTTTTGTCACACTTTTGTACCCTTTAGTGAGAACAAGCCCATATATAATATAAAATCACACATGTAAGATGGATTTAATTACGTATATTTGCCAACGGGGGTAGTCTAAGTATTTCTTTCCCCACGTGAGCAAAGGTTTCCTGCTTGGTGATATATTGTAAATGATCAAAAGCATCTTGAAATTATTGCAAAACTAAACTAGTGAAAAACTAGAAGAACAACAATATCCTATGTTCAAATAACTATACATAATTTAGAAGTTAAATGTTTTTTTTGTAGTGTTACAGCCCTTGTTTTTGTTAACTTATTTACAGTTTTTGTTAACTTATTTACAGTCCTGTTATTAAATTACTTTATTTACTATTTAACACCTTGGTTTTTGACACCTCACTCTTGCAGAACAATCACTAATAAGTGATTGATATTGTTTGGATAAGTTCAAATAAAGGGTTCCATAAATGACCACTACAAAAACAATTGACAGACATTGAATTGGTGTTTGTCTTCTTGGAACCAGGCCAAATTAATGATGTATGCAGCAAACCTAAAATGCCGTCGAGTTCACAGGTTGGTAGCGAACAGCAGTTGGCTCACCTGCTCTGGCCGCGGCTCCTCTGTGACCAGGCTGATGACCACCACCACACACAAGGTGATCACAGAGAGCAGCGTGGAGAAGTAAAGGTAGTGCACATATTTTAACACTCCCGGCCGTGTGTCCGCTTCATAGCACTGTGGTTGGGGATAGATGAAATCCAACAACATCCGTATGCAACCGATCAGCAGGCCGAGAGCCAGTCCCCAGAATGCACCCTGCACAAACAGAAAGGAGTGAATTCAAAGTGTGAGTATGTTAATCCGGGAATACACCTTAAGATAAGCGATCAACACCACTATATACAACTTTACGGTAGTAGAAGATTGGTAGAGATGTATTATTTTTTTACTTTTTCATACTATTTCATGTTTAAGAATGTGAAAGAGTAAAAAAATATATGACGAAACATGCATCAGGATAAAAGGGGTATCTGTATGTAATCCCATATAATGCCACTAGAGGGAGTTGATTTATATTCTTTTAGTCTTTTTTGAACATTTGATAATTACCAGCTGCAAACACAGGCATGTATTTAAATTAACACCTTAGACATTGACAAAATCGGTATTTTATGGGAAATATTTTTTATAAAAAGCGAAAAACATTGCACATGCGACAGAAAGCCCTGGGCCAGACATCTCTATGGAAACCAGCTGATGGCAGGACCACTCCCAACATAAATTAATTCCTATCACATAACTTCAATCTTGACCTTTTCGTTGGTTCTCTTCCAAAAACAGCCCAAGATGAAGACTATGGAAACAGGAGGCTGGAGGTAGGTGCTGATGGACTGGATGTAGATGAACAGTTGTCCCCCCTGACTGGCCTGGACCACCGGGATCCACATCACAGAGACCACTACGAGAACCAGTACAAAGACTCTGGAGGAAAACACATTGTAAAATAGCACAATGCTGGTGAAAAAAGTTTGCAGGGTTACACTGGAAAATCGTTTTGTATGTAATGTGGTGTCATGTGATGTATGTAAGTATTTTTTCTGTCAAACATTGAGCCAGAAGTCAGGGTGCCACAGCGATGATTGACTGAGAGACCAGGAACTGAAATAAGGCTAGAGATGTATTTCGATGTGTATTTACTGTGTTGATATGTTTTTATGCTATGGCAAAATTCATGACTTTAATTGACCAAAAAATATGCATTTCAACAGTTACTCCAACCAAAACCTTAATCTACTACAACAAAATTCTCATTTCCATTTCCTCATTCTTACACATTTCTTTTCCTCTTTTCTATCTTCATGTTCACCTTTTGTACGAGTTTATTGTGAACTTACCTGCCAACGATCATGAGCTCCCACTCTGTTGCTCTCGACCGAAACGTTTTCCACAGATCCATAGTGAAGATGGTGCTGGCGCTGTTGAAGACGGATGTGAGGGAAGACATGAGTGCAGCGATCATGACGGCCATCATGAGGCCACGCAGACCTACAATAGAAATGACCGGTGAAAAAAATATAGATATTAGTTCATCTTCTATCTGAGTGTGGGCGGTTTGTGTCACCTGAAGGCAGTAGCTCCATGACCAACCTGGCATACGCCGTGTCTGTACACCCCACTGGGTTACCACAAACCTCCCGACACACATCAGGGTCTGCACAGGCCACGTCGTCTATAAACACATAGTATACAGTTACTGAGAGCTTGCTCTGAAGTTTGACTTTAGCGCTCACACGCCTCTGAAAAGGACTGTACCTGTATATAGTATTCTACTGATCATTCCCGGTAACATCACAGCAAAGAAAGGGATGATTTTCAGGTACACGGCCAGAAGGGAGCCTCCTTTGGCATGAGTCAAAGTCTTAGCTGCGAGAGAGCGCTGCACAATAACCTACAGATGAAATAGAAATCCAAAGTCATTTTTCAGGAAACATAAAGCTTTACATAGGAATACATAGGTGCTGTTTAAACGAGGACGCTGCAACAGTAAACCAAAAGAGTTGGGTGTCGGATTGGCCTTTCATTTACATTAAGACAGTGTTCTTCAAGCGCTACACGTAGGAGAATTCTACACCTTTGTTCGTCCAAAATGAAACCATGTGACGCTGTAGTTTCAGTTTCTATTTTCGCAACTGCTGTTAAATGCAGAATGATGTTGGTGCATGTCACTCCCGTATTCGTCCCGGAAACCGGATTCGTCCGGAAGTTCAGTTTGATCCAATAAGCATACGCAGCAGTAGATTACATCACGGAATCTGGACGGAAGCGGAAGTAAATATAAAAAACTACCTATTCATGCCTAAACTTAACCAGCCATTCCCATAAAATAACCCCAACCCAGCCTTAACCCTAAACTTAACCATCTTAATCAGACGCCTAAACTTAACCAGTCTCCACTTAAGGACATATTAAACTTTTTGACATGCGCAAACTGAACTTCCGGACGAATCCGGTTTCCGGGACGAATACGGGAGTGACAGTGCATTCTTTCACGTCTTTGCAGTGGCCTGAGGAGGATGTGGTTGAGGAAGTGATTATACTGCTGGGGGTTACACTTGTTGTGTTGTAAAATTCCAGGCCCTACTGGCCAGGCGCTAGAACTACATCATTTTCCGTCATTGTAAAATAAAATCTGCTTGTTGAAGCCTGGTCTTGTCATAAGATAAGATATGAGATATTCTCAAAGTGGGGAAATTCCAATGTTGCAGCGCACATACAGGACAGTAGTAAGAGCACACAGGGAGCACACAACGTAAAAGCTCAGAACAAAACAGATCCCAGATGTTAAGTACTGAAGGGCATCTCCATCCAAGTCGTTAAAACCAAAATTGCAAACTGTTGTGACCTTCACCTACATCGACTCGCACGAATGTTGTGTGTGATATCTGGTGAGTGATGGTGGAGTTGCTATAGCCACAACAATATTTCACCACCATCAGAATGAAATGTAGCAGTGAAATGGATCATTCAGTGTGAGAGTCCAGACAAAGTGCTCTATATCTGCTTCATCACAGCACTGACGGTCGTGGATACCTGATCGGAGCACCAGTACCACATGGAGGGGATAGACATGCCGATGAAGAGCCCAGGCCAGGGCAGGTCTGACGTCACTGGGTCTCTGAACACGTTGAAGGAGTCTTCTCGAGGGATTCCACAGGTGGTGTTTGGGACACGCACAGAGGGGATGGCGTAAGCGTAGCCCTCCATCAGACCGTTCCAACCTCCGACCTCCACAAAACCTAAACGAACCTTCAAATCAAAATGGATTCACTGAATATACTTTTGTTTTGGATGATCCTTACTGAAGGCCATGAGCGTCAAAGCCCCCGCTAACATGATGACTGTCTGAGCTGCATCTGTGTAGATAACGGCAGCCAAACCACCTGCCACACAAACGTACATGAATTATAACGCAATGCACCAGAGATGTTTAAATTGTAAATAATATGGGCAATTAAAAACAACCTGCTACTGTGTATATAGCGGTTATTGAAAGAAGCAACCCGACTGCAAGATAGATATTCCACTGCAAAGCCAGCTGAATGAACAAGGCTCCAGCATACATATCCACCTGGGAAAATACACACACATTTTTAACAAAGGAAACCGTAATCTTAATATAAAATTACTATAGCAACCTACTGAAATTTTGGTGAAGATGTAAATAAATAAGTATAAGACAGCGATCAACAGCTGCGTTCTTCTGCCTCCGAAACGTTTTTGTAAATACTCCGGCATAGTGGTGACCTATACATTACAAAACAAAGATTGAAAAAAATACCACAATACATGTGTCTGTGCATTTTCAACTAGACATACTGTAGTTTAAGAGATGACAGTATATTTATATTGCCAAAAGTTAGAAAATCACTGACTCAGAGATGTACTTGTCTTGTGCACACTGGGGACTTTTGCAGAAGTATTCCAAAGGGGTTTTACTGCAAATGGCGAATAAAATTAATCTGAATCTGAATCTCATGGGGCTCATTTCTGGAAAAATCTCAGCAGAGACATGAATAAATGCAATTCCTTCTTTGTATTTAAGAAAAAATTGTCACAGTGTGTTGTGGACGGATACCGAACTGAATGATTTTTAAGTGTAAAACTAATTGTTTATTCTTTGAAACATGTTATGGTAACTTATGGTATTTGTATTATGAATATGTAATGAGCGCACAAGTCTGATGCGTCTGCCCTAAACTGAAACTGAATAAACTTTAGTGTCCTCACTCCAGACGCGAGGTAGATGGGCAGGAAAACCCATCCGAGCAGCAGCACCATGAACATGCCCTGTTGAGTTCAGAAAACATAATTATAAAACATTGAGAAAGATGAGAGAGAGAAGACGACATCGAGCCTCTTACGTTCCATTCGTACGCAATGGCCCCGATTCCAGCCGCAGCTCCTGACCCTGCCAGGCCGATGAAGTGACCGCTGCCAATGTTACTGGCAAAGAGAGACGCGCCCACCTAAAATTAGACAAAAGTTAGTCGGCTATTTCTGATCCCATGGCCCCGATATCAAAATGAGGGCAGGATTGTTAGAGGATTGCAGTGTATTTAGCATGGACTCACGGGCCACCAAGTCATGCTCTTTCCAGCCAGAAAGTACCCGTCCACTGTGCTGCGCTTGGTCCTCCACATCGACTGAGAATGTGCAAGGATTAGAAAAGTTATGTTGAGTAAAGTTAGTCATATTTATCGTTTATCTTATGATACTTTCCGGATGAAAACTAGTTTCTATAATCCGGCATATTTACATTTGTTTTATACTGATGTGCATTAATGTGCATTGTCCCTATCAAATGAATGAATAAATAGAAAAATAAATACATATATTCAAAAAAATTATCATTAATGGTTTAAGTTGAATCGCATGTAAGAGGCATGTAACGATTAGTTCAAAATGTGTTCGAAATATATTTAAACTGCTTAAAATGTAGATTATATAAAACTTTTTTTTTTTCACAATGGCATGTTAACAATACCAACTTCTTATTTGGTTGTAAAGTTATTATACTGATACAACAACAACAATGCAGATGTTAAAATACTGGATACATATTTAGTTATACATTAATGTAGGTTAAAAATGATAATAAACAATTGGAATAGGTCATTTAGAACATTGAATTGGTGATTGAGTGTATCATGAAATCTTTTAGTAAAGTTGCATCCCTAGTTGCGATTAAGAAAAGAAACATTTCGGAACATTCCGGAAAACTACACTATTTGCATTCACTTCTGCATCGGCAAAACTGATTTTACTCTAGAAACATGCCTTCTTACCCAGAATCCAACAGCCAACACAAGCAAAAAGTACACAACCAGGACGCCGATATCCAGAGGGGCCAGAGAGGTCTTAGGGGGAGTAGGGGGTGATGGAGAGGGGGTCATGGTGAATCGCGGCTGCTCCGGATCAATCATCTGCAAACGTGAAACTATCAATGACTCCAGATAAAATCCAATACTTTAAAATCAAAAATCTTACCTTCAGCTACAGTTTTCTACTTGGACGTCATTAGTAAAATCCCAGAATCCCGTTTGTTGTGAAACTTCCTTCACTGGGAGCAGGTCAAACTCCACTCACACCTCCTCCACTACGTATATGTTAGTTACACTGTAAATAATTTATCTCACTTGGCAGGAGAAAGGTGTTCTCAGGCTCGTAATAATGGAGATAACATATCCTGGGAGGAGCCCATTAACAACTGATTTGATATCACGCTTTCAGATTCCAGATTTGAAGATAAAACATTAACACCTTCTCACTTTCGAATCGTGCCCGGTTAAAGTCGGCAGAGTTTTGGTGGTGCACAGTGGGCTAGTCTCGCACAGTTTATCCAATATGGTTTTACTGCAAATGGCAAACACATTCTTGAATCTTGTTAAAATAAATCAGTCCTTTTAGAAAACAAAGCATTTATTTATTCCTCATTAATAAAACATTTGAATGGAAGCAGACAGTATAAGCAGATTTGTAAACACACATTTCACAATTAGAATTTTCTTTTGTATGTGTAACCTCAAAAAGCGAATAAATATCTAATCGTGACAAATGCTTAATCTGAATAACAAAGTCAGAGAATACACTGGATATTCTTATCATTAATCATTTTTATTTCAGCCTCATTAAATTGGTCCATATTTTAAAATTATATGACTATAAAACAGAGAAAATGCAATAGAATATATACAGTCAGTCCTGTATATGTTTTATTGCTGACTATTGTAGACTATTGTAATATGCACTTTGGAAATACAATCTCTCAGTGCTTATTTAGTACTTATTCAAGATATTCTTAACTCTTTCCTATCAATGTAATACCTAAAAACCAAGCTTCTGGCCTCATACATTTCAAAACATGGGAGTTTGTGCAATTTATTTCTTAATCATAATTTGCTTTAAAATCAAACAGATATTTGCTACACAAAGAGCAATATTTATTCTTTACTTATGTTATATAATCTCAATACACATTGGATAACTAAAAATAAATACATACAAAGGAACTGAGTGAACATTTGGACTTATATCAAGAGGTCAAACATAATCACGGACAGATAAAAAGACTATTTCATTTGGATATGTCACTAACATTTGTGTATACGTCTGCACAGTCCTGTGTGTGTGTGTGTGCGTGTACTTCCTGTGTTACCAGGCCAGGGGAGTGGTCACGCGTGGACTCCTGGGGCTTTTGGGTTTCTCTGAACTTTGCTGATCACTGAGAGCTCTCTGTGGAGCAGACAGAGCAGCGTGTTACAACAATCATGACTTTAAACTGGACAACAAGTCTGTCATGGATTAGGTTTAGGATTAGACGTTATCACTCGCCTCGAACTTTGATATGAATTCCGCAAAGATGCCAAAGAAGGCCTCTGAGCTGGTGGATTTCCCGTCTTCTCCAAAGTAAGAGGCCGTTTTGAGGAACTCCTCCACAGACCTCTGTTGTAACGACTCCACAGACTGGAGCGCAGGATGACTGTTCTCAAGAAAGTTCTGTCCACACGTTTCTGTCAAGGCCTATATTTTCTTCTTTCATACTTTTCTGTTTGATCAATGACACAAAAAGGATACACTCATGACCACTGCAAAGCGGTCCTCCGCAGTAGTGGGCATCTTTTGACAGGCGCTACGGATGTCCTGGATTGTTGAATGGAGGTCGTTCAGGTCTGATGCAAGACTCTTTTGGTTAACTAAAGTCATACATGAAGCAATAAACACACCCATTTATAGGATTTATGGAAAGCGTAAATATTTTACTACAGTTACCTTTTGCTGCAAGTGGAACCATTGTGAGATCTTTGGAAAAATCCAACACTTCGGGAAAGTGTTGGCATAAAGACTTGACAAGTATGTGCAGAAAGGTGGATTTCCCATCCACTGTTTTGGTGGTGCTCAGCTGTGAAGAGCGGGTCACACTGTATGTGATATATCAATTCATTTCATTATTTGCAATTGTACCTCAGTTAAAAAATTGATCTTGAAGCCGGTCGTCTTGTTGGTTTTAGGTTGGCTGTTATTCAAGTAATTCCCCATAGCCAGCACAAACTAGAAGTAAACACAACAAAAAACATTTTTTTAAAGGGGGATATTTCGCAAAATACCCTCTCAATACCTATGCATAAAAGGTGTACCTCAAGTATCTTGGCGAGCTTCTTGCTAGTTTTTAGCTCCATAGAAGCATTATAAGTACAATCATAAGCTCCTTTCAGCTCTTCGATCTTCTCCGGCAGAGTGCACTTGAAGAGGAGACACTGCAGACGTGTTTTGTACTCTGGCACTGACAACATCTGAGGACCAAGTTCAAACAACATAATAGTATGTCATGTTCTTTGTTCAGTAGTGGGATATTTACCTGCAGCACAAACTGGTCGGGCTCACTCAGTTTGCCGGGGTTCTGCCTGTACTCTTCATACTTGTGCAGCTCGTCTTGGTCAGGGCTGTACAGAAGCAGCTGTTTGATGTGGGACGGCTCCAGACGATCAGAGGTCATCCTCAGCAGCACTTGCTGCAGCTCTCCAGGACACAGCTTCAGGTGTGCGCTCAGGATTGCTGAAATAACCTCTGTTTAAAATGTGTGTCTTTAACAAGTGTAATACGTGAGCCAGCACTGTGCACATTACACTTTACTCACAGACATTGTAAGCTTTTTTATGGGATAGTATTTGAACCACATCTTTTGTTTTTGTGGCTTCAGGCTGAGGAGCGGATTCTGGGGCAGGTGCTAAGAACAGAGAAGGTTCAATTCGATCATCCTTGACAGAGTGATATTGAAGAATTATGCTAGCTCGTTGTTTTTCAGTTTGCCATACACCAACCTGAGTTCTTCTGTGGTCCAAAGTGAAGCTCTAGGTCCAGATACTTTACCATGTCATGCAGTTTATCATAGTCTGAACTTGCCCCAAGCTGAACGTGGACAGCAACAGGTTAGAATGCAGTTTAGGAACATAGAACATGATGGTGTTACCTGTCCCCATATTGTGCCCTCTGAGTTCTCCACCTGCTCCCAGCGCAGCCTCTTGACGCTCAGATGATGTGAGTCCATCCGGGACAGACTGGGACGGGGCAGAGGAGGGGGAGAGCAAGGAGGGGGCAACGGCGGAGGAGCCGGGGGGTCGAGACGCTCCGGATCAGACAGCGAGTGGGGCAGAGACTGAGGCTGCCGACTGTCACTGTGGGGATTCTGCAGTTTGTGATGGTGGGCTGAAGGTGGAGGCTGGGAGTGGAGCAGGTGATGAGAGGGCTGAGACTGAGGCCGACCGATCTGATTGGCTGCCTGGCTCATGACCGGCTGGAAGCTTGGGTGAGACAGCGGGGGCGGGGTGGGCTGGAGAGGTTGGAAAGTTGAAAGCAGCGGCTGAGGCCTATGCTGTTGTTGCTGTGGCGGGTGAATGACGTGGATCTGGTGAGGGTGATCCTGCGATGGCGGCTGTGGGGTCATGTGATGTATGTGCTGGATCTGGTGGTGAGTTTGCTGGACGGAGTGAGGTCTCTGAGGGGAGGGTTTGCTGGGCTGGGGGTTATGCTGGGCTTGTGGAGGCGGAGCTTGATGCTGTCCTTTCACACTGCGCCGGCTCTGGTGCGAGTGGCTGTCCCGGCTCAGGTGAACGGGGGGCAGAGGTGGGTCTGGTTGGTGAAGCAGCTCGGTGGAGCCGTTGTGCGTGTGGGGGGTCTGGTGGAGGAGCTCAGAGGAGGAGTGGTGAGGCTGAATCTGGTGCAGCAGCTCAGAAGACGAGTGGTGGACCTTAGCTTTATGCATTTGATGGAGGATCTCATTTTGTGAGGGGTAGTGAGTGTGCTGGAAGACCTGCAGACACACCAAATAATACTCACAAATAGTCTATAGGCGTTTATACAGACTTGTGTTTTTTGGCTTGGAGTAGAAATGCTGTGTCGACCCCGGACAACTGTGAGAGAAGGAGGCGAGTTGTTTGAACCCTGTCAGCTATTCACCGCGGGGAAGACATGAACGTGTCAAAGTCAAACAAACTGCCGACTTCTTCAATAGTGACAGCGCAGTGCACCCAGGACCCCAGGGAATCGCAGTATAATGGACAACGACAAGCTTCTCATCCATGTTTTTAAATTACAGCTATATTTGGCCAAAATGTTACCACTTAACATGTCTCGGTCTGTGTTGCTCAGAGTGTAATCAAGTTGGATCCGAGGTTTTTGGTTGAAAAACTTGTGGTTTTGCTCAGTGGGAGTGAGATATATGATGATATTCTCACGCTTGTGCATTAGAGATACTATAAATATATAAAATCATAAGTTGCTTGAGAACTCGCAAGAAGTTCCTGTCCTGTCCTGTCCTATTATTCTACCTAATATTATGTTTTGTTATATACAGTATGTAATAGAAAAACAAATGTACAAACTTATTGTACTTTCAAAACTAGAAATTATTCATTGTAGGTGTGCCTATGTTATGCGGAACCCACTTTTCCTTGTGTTTTATTCGACTGACCTCAGCGGGGGGGTGGTGGCTTTGGGCTAGCTGCTGCATCTGATGAAGCATCTCTATGGACGAGTGGTGAGGCTGGGACCGGTGCATCTGGTTCAGCATCTCTGTGGAAGAGTGGTGGGACGACGCTCTTGGCCCTTGGTGGCTCTGGTAGATACCCTCTGTGTACTGCCCTTGCCCTGTTTGCATGTGTCCCATGAGCTGAGGGTTTGGTGGGTTTGGAGGAGGTGCAGAGCGGGAAAGTCTTCTGTGCATGAGGTAATTCTGCTGCTGCTGTTGTTGTTGCTGCTGCTGCTGCTGCTGCTGCTGCTGCATCATATACAGTTGGTGGTTGGAGCGATGCATCATGGCGTCAGGTGGAGTGGGCAGTGGGGGCAGAGACTGGTGCAGCTGCTGGAGAGGCAGAGGGGAGGCCACTTTCTGTGTGGGTTGGGCAGGCATGGAGTGGTGGCTCTGATAGATCTGATGCATCTGTTGCTCTTCAAAGGCCTGCTGCTCCTCGTACGCCCTCTGCTCTTGGTAGGCTTTCTCGTAGGCCCTTTGCTGCCTTCGCTCATACGCCTGTTTCTCTTGATACATTTGTTGTTCTTTCAAAGCTTTCTGCTCCTCATATTCCTTCTGCTGCTCGTAGGCTTGTCTTTCCTTGAAAATCTTCTCCTGGTAGGCCTGCCGCTCCTCAAAAGCCTTCTGCTCTTCGTAAGCCTGTCGTTCTTTGTACGCTTGTTGTTCCTCCTGCCTTTTCTTGAACGCTTGCTGCTCGCCATACGCTTGTCTTTCGTGGTACGCTTTCAGCTCTTTGATGGTGGAACGGGACTGCATTTCGCCTCTTGCCGGGAGAGCTTTGTGAAGAGAGTGGCGTTTTGGTGGGACGTTGCAGCGGGGTGGCGGCGGAGGAGGCGGGCCGGATTTACGACGTACAGGGACGTAAGATCGGGGAGACTGCTCTGGGGTGAAGTTGACCCGTAGCTGCTGCTGCTGCTGCTGGCCGTGTGCAGGTGGGGCGGGTGGAGGTGGAGGCAGGTCGTTGAACTGGACAGGTGGAGGGGGGAGGGGGGCTCATGGGCGGTGGGGGGATTTGGTCGGAGGAGGAGGAGTAGGTGAGCGAGGACATGTGGTCTTCGCCGCCGCTGCTGCTCTGAACCTCGCTCGGGCTGCTCATCTCGGGACCCACGAAGCCGCCGCTGCCTCCTCGTCTCCCGCTGCCTCTTCGTTGACATCTTCATCATCCTCCTCATCCGGAAATCCCATCTGCACAACATCCTGGCATTAACACCAATTACATATCATTAGACTGAGAATCTCAGAGCAGTGCATTCACAACAGACAGCAACCACAGGCTACACTAGATTAATCGCCTTAAAGCTCGGGTACTATTACACATGCCTGACAAATATCTGTTCTCATGTGTGATGAGTGTCTGCGTAAGTGTGTGTGGGTTTGGTTCAGCATAGGACTGTATGAAAGTAAAGAACGGGGGCCGGGTGGTTTTCTTTTATGATAACCTGTGGTATTGTAATGTCTGTCTGATTATGTATGGTAATGTATCCATCTACTTTTATTAAAAAAAAAAAAAAAAAAAAAAAAAACATCCATCTGTCTAGTTTCACACAAATGTTTGTATCAACTTTTTCGGAAAGAAAAGTTCAAACAAGAAGACCCTACTGATTCAGCCAATCATCTCTCAGCCCTTAAGAGTCAACTAGGGTTATCCGGCATTTAAAGGTATGCAAAAAAATAGTTTTCCATGGTCTGATTTCTTCAAAACCTTAGATATTTATAGCACTCTTTGGATTGGGACAAACTGAATGTATTATTCATAAAACCAAAAAAAAATTTGGATTTTGCTCCTGGTTTGGCATTTTAAAATAAGTCAATATCTGGAATAGAAATGATTGTGTCGTCCAGCTCACAATTTTTGTAAAAAAGAAAAACACGGAAAATTACAATTAAACATGAATATTTGAATTTGCACACCTCCTCATAGTCATTGTCGGGGTTCAGGAAATCATCAACAATGGCCACTTTCTGTCCCAGCTGCTCGCTCAGGGCGTCCAGGAAGCGGTCAGTGTCCTCAGAGCGTGGCGGCTTGGAGAAGGTGTAGCGGCCTCTTGTTGAGACGCTGGGGTGGGGGGCTGGATGGGAAGTCATCAGGCTCTGGAGGGGAGGCGAGGGGGCTGTCCAGACTGATGTAAGGATTGGACTCAAGACTGGTCTGACTGGTTATTCCTCCAGGATAGAAATGTGACGAAGGGGAACTGGACAGGGGCTCAACCCAAGAGGAGGATGGGGCTGCGTTTCCTGAAATGACAAATGAATTCTGATTGTAATATTTGACTTCCGGTCGCGTAGTTGTTAAATACTGTCGATTCCAGAGGTGGCAACAAAGTATTTTTTATTATAATAATAATACATTGGTTTATACAGTGCTTTTTTTGGACACTCAAAGACGCTGCAGTAGCCCTGGTGTGTACTATCTGGTGCATTCAGGGGTAGTCTTGCACAGTTTTTCCAATGTGGTTTTATTGCAGATGACAAATAAATTCTTGAATCTTGAATTTAGATTCATTCAGTCATTATTCTTTCAATCTATACACAGTAGTGATAAACTACTATTGTAGCCACAGTTGCCCTTGGACACACTGACAGAAGCGAGTATTTTTACTGTAATCAGTCCTTTTTTATTTCATTCTTTTAAACCCAAATATCTCTCACTGCTTTTACTGCTCACATTTTTGCCAGTTGACAACTCTAAAAACAAGAGGAGCCACACAATATCAACTTTGTGATTTTATATTTTTATTTCTGTACAGTTGTTTGCATATTAAGTGTGATTACGTTGCTATTCTGGACCTGTTTTTTTTTTTTTTTGGTACATTCTCTTGGTTAGCCCTACTTCTAAGTTATTATAATAGATCCATTGACCTTAAACATGTAGGTTCTACATGTTTAAGGTCAATGCTTAAAATGTTCTTCCATTATTAACCATAGTACATATATTTAGTATATAGTATAGTATTGTGTTATATTATAGGATTCATAGCATATACACATTTTCTGAAGTACCAGCTCTGGTTAATTCTGTGTGTGTGTGTGTGTGTGTGTGTGTGTACCATGGCTGGCAGGTGACGCTGTGCAGGATTGACGGTCCAGCTCCGGCACATCGTCTGGGGCCGGAGGAGGGCGACTTTTTAAAGACTTGGATCTCTTAGACAAGTACATATTCTCTAGTTCAGCGTACACAGCTGACAGCTTGCAAAGATCAGAGTAAGAAGAACACAGTGAGGCTTTCTGACTTTATCTGAGTATTCAATGAGTTTCACACAAATGTTTCTCATACATTGGTGAGGTTGTTAGGGGTCTCAGGAAGAGAAGTGCCATCACCTGACTGTCTTTCTCCTGGAGCCAGCCTCATGCCCGTCTCGAGAGCTGGCTCACCTCGCATGCCTAGAGTGATATAGTCGTTAGATACGCTTAAAAACAACTCAGGGGGCTCTTTCTGTTTCTGAAGCATGGGATCAAACATATCATCCTTGGAAGATACTGCAGACATAAAGAAAAAAAGGTTTATGAAAATTAAATAAGAACAAGTAAAGCATTGTTTGTGGTTAACAGTATTGTAAACATTTAATGAAACAAAAGAACGTACCTGGTCCCAGATGTGTGCCGATGGCCAGGTCGTCTGAGCTGCGTCCTCTCACGCTGCTCTTGTAGGTGTTTCCCGTCACTCTCATGGAGCTGCTGCGGCGCTGAGGCTCAGGGGCCGCCTCAGACTCCTCTTCAGGAGGAGGAGGAGGAGGAGGAGGTGGGGGGAACTGCAGGATAGAAAATATACTGTATTCTGATAAAAGAATCGGAAAAGAATGAGAAACACTTGAGTAAGTTTTTGTGAGCACACCTGATGCTTTGAACCCTAGGAAGCGTGTGATCTTGTTCTGACAATGTTCTTGCTCTTCATAAGTCAAGAGCTGGTAAACAAACTGCCAGATAACCTGCTTTGCAGGGGTGTCGAGGACTGGAAAGACGTCCACAATTAGAGTGTCTACATTCCTGCACACAATAGAGTATATTAGAAATCATCAGACAGGAGATTATTCTAAATGAATCTTACCTATGCTGGAAGAAATTCTCCAGACCTTTGCAGATAGTGTAGCGCTCCTTGATGGTCAGAAGGTGTTCCAACTGCTGTCCAAAGGTGCGACCCTGAACCCGGATACTAGGAGGGAGGATCTCTGCGATCCACTGCAGAGAGCTGAGCACAGGAGAGCGGCAGCGCTCTGTGGGGCCGCTGCCACCAGTCAAGTCTGGCTCTGCCAGAGGAAAGTTAGTGATACCTTCTTCCACCACCAGAGTGGGCATAGCACCACTTCCCTGAAGCATGGAAACAACCTTCTCATGGGAGGAAGTCCTACAAACCAGAAACCACCTCAGTACATTATGTGATATATGTTTAACAGGCAAAAATTACCTCATGTCTAGTCCATTCAAAAACAGAATACGATCTCCAGGTTTAAGACCTGCCTTATCAGCTGGGCTTCCTGTATAAAAAATAATGCTCTGGTTGAAGTATTAGCAATTTTCATTCATTCAATTGAATCCATAACCAACTCACCAGAAATGACAGAGTCAATCCAGACTGGTGCATGCCCTCTGAGAGTGAAGCCAAAACTCATATTTCCTTTGCAGACTCTAACAGTTCTGAACAAAGCAATAAAATGATGCTCATATAACCTCATTTAATGCTCAAAGGTCACATATACATTGCCCTAAAGCCACTAGAGGCAGACCTGCAGTTGGTTGAGGAGCCGGAGTGTCCAGCGATGAGAGAAGTGGTCTTCCTCATGCCTCTGGAGGGAGCTGGAGCACCCTCCTCTGCGTGGGTACGGGGCACTGAACTGGCCCTGGTGGACACAAGGAGGCGCTCTGGGTCGTCGTCGCTACGGCTGCGACGAAAGTGACTGCGGCTGGGGTCCACTGAAGCTGCGCCCCTTCACTTGGCTCGTCAGATTCTGAGACACAACCTCATCGAAGCGCTCCCGGTGTTTCTTGGGGATGAAGATCCTGGTGAACATGTTAAGAATGGGAAATCGTGACAGAACCTTCCTGAAGAATCTTTGAAAATAAAATTTGTCAAAAGGTTAAAAAAATACATATTCTTACTCTGTTTTTCTCTTCCCTATTGTTCCAGCTGCATTATTTTAATGGGATTGAAAATAGTACAGCCCTAATGTCCCAGGGGTGAGCAGAGACAGGTAAAGCCAGAAACAGCCCACATTTATCGGCGTAAGAAAGGAGAGAGAGCTGATTCACTGTTTCTCCTGTCTCATTCCCAGTTGCAGGTACAGCTATCTCAAAAATGTTCAATTCAGCAATACAAGACGAGGCTGTCAAGTATCTACAGGGAAGGGCTCTCATCATCATTTTTCCATTTTTGCACCCAACATACTACATTATAGACTCAACAACATTTAATTAGACAATGATTTCAGATGGCTCTCCAGAAGTACCTGACTGATGTGAATAGGCCATTTTGAAAATGTTCTTTAAATAAATGTGATCTCTATGTAGGGCAGGGTCGTGTAACTTTTGGGAGCTGTCAAGTTGCTTTATGTCAGCCAAAAAAAACTTCCCAGAACAACCCAGTTAGAGCAAATAAAACCAAACAGAAGTGGGCCATTTGTAGTTTTGATGACAGATTAGTAACTCCAACGCAATCGGTTCAGTTTTGTTCTTGTTAAAATGGTATTATCCTTGTCAAAACTTTCACATTTCTTCACTTAAGTTGGATGTAGGCTTCCAGATGCCCTCAATTAGAAGGAGGGCAACGGCTATATTTAGAAATAGAGGAGGAGTGGATCAAGGACAGCGTGAAGAGAAAGATGAATGACTTGTGTGATCACTATTTTCAGACTATTTTGACAGGACCGCAAACAAAAAATGTAGACTAATTAGAAGCACAGACAAAAAACAGACAATGCAAAAAGAAGGTAGAATCAAAACAATCAAAAAGACCATACCGAAAGCGTCTGGCGACATTCCGGTCTCTTCCCATGACTTTCTGAGCCTTAGAAAGAGCAGAGGATGCAAAAGTCTTGGTCCGATTTGGTTTGTATTATTTTTGGTAAAAGACAGATGAAAATGCAGGTCCAGGCGCTCAATCTTTTTTAATGCAAACTCTGAAGGCAGACAGTGGTGGGCGTTTTCCATCCTCAGGCATCAGCTGTTCAACTTGATCAGGAACAAAACAGTTCCTGGTCCCAACGTCCTCCAAGAGTTAATTCATGGAGCTCCGGCAGGTGACAGCGTGAGTCCTGTCGCAGCAACATCCATTTTTATTGTGAGAATGGTGAAAGTGAGTTTTTCCCTCATCAGGATGTAGACGAGGGAGAGAGGAGTCTCAGAGGGGCTCTTTAGGCAGGTCGCAAAATGACTGAGAGGGAGAACAATAAGTGCCACCAGTGCACACACACATGCACACACACATGCACATACTGACACACACACTGACTCACACACACACACACACACACACGCAGTGACTGGGTACAGACAGTTAAAGGTGTTCTTTTTATAGACAGAGCTAATTTAAGCACAGAACAAAATTCAATTCTCCAACAGCAAAATAAATGAAATAAAAATCTCCATGTTCAGGAGAAATAAAAACCATAGCGAGTGCCTGACCTCCTCATAAAAATATGTTATTGTTACAAAAATATATGGAAATTATACTTTCACAATTGTAGACCATTTTTGTACATTCATAAATGTTGTTACCATGAATATTCTTTAATTAATGAGTGGTAAGGTGCATAAATGGCTCTCTTTTCTGGCCTATAATCATAATCACCATTATCTCGAAGGACCTTCTGGAATTGTCAATTAGCCAACAACATAATAGAGGATTATGTACTTATAGTACTTATTAAGTATAGTGTTATTATAGTAAACATATATCTAATATATCCATGGGTATGCCTGATCATTACACAGAGGAGGCTAATGGGATTTCCAACAATTAGTATCATTTTACATAACAGAAAATGTATTAAAGAACATGTTTGTGCTAATGTAAATCAAAGTTAATTTTCATTCAGAACCTAAAAGAGACTTCATCAAAAGAAGTAGGCTACATATAAATAGAACGCGGCCGGTGGGAGGGTGAGAAAAATCTGTGGGACAAAGACAGACTCTCGGTCCAGCTGATCTTTCTCATTTCTTTGTTTTAACACAGCACAACTCCAGAATTTTCACGTTTGTTAATTGTTGATTTGTTGATTTTAATCGTGATGTTACAACTCCCACATAGACCTATATCTAATCATTAACAGAATTTTTCTAATTGCAGAAACAAACTCAAGGCATCTATAAAGAAAACCAGAAAAGAAAAGATCCCTTTCTGCTTTGAAACATGTGCATAAAGGAAGTATACGGCGCTGAAACACTGTGCATACAATAGATATCCACAATAACAAGGTGAATATGGATTCACATGAGTCTGAAAGGTCCACTGAGTAAACAACGCATGCATAATTAATTCAAGGTCCTAAGAAACAAACAATACAATCCATATTTTTCAGAAAGCACAGACTAAACAGTAGAAAAGCGAGATGTTGTACCTATAGTGAAATATAAATGTCAAGTTTGGCTTGTAAAGTAAAGTGACACTACTGCAGAGGGAAAAGTGTCCTTACCTGAGGCAGCAGCGCATTTCACCCTCTTATACGACACAAGTGTCGGAGTGCTGCTGTTTCTGCATTCTCTACTACTACCAATCTGACTGCAATACTTGCACTATACGGAGAACATGGAATAAAGAGAATCTAATAATGTGGTCCAAAGTGCAAAATCAAAGAGAGCGGGGAGGACAGAAAAATGGGAAGAAATAGAGCAACAGAGAGAATGCCAGAGTGAGAGGGGGCAGAGAAACTCTACGGAAAAGCACTCTTGTCTTTCGGATTTTGGGCTGAGCAAGAGGAAATTAAATATTTCATACTTTCTTGGATCCTTGTACAAAAACCAAGTGACCATGAGACATGTCAAAGTCTCTCAATTAAGTCAAGCTTATAAGTGCTTGAAAAGTTTTTGAAATATTGATGTGTTTCCTAGAAGTACTTAAAGTAGGAATAAACACCTGTTTTTTGTTTCCTAAGGAAAGAAACAGAAACCCCCAGAGCCAGGTGCACTTGCAATAGAAACAGATTTATCTAAATACCATTAAAACTGGTGTATTGTCCTGTCCTGGTGGGCGGAGAGCCTGTCCCTCCTCAGGTGGAGGAGTTCAAGTCCTCTCCTCAGGACAGTGAGGAGATGATGGAGCATGAGACGGACAGATGGATCAGTGCAGCGTGTGCAGCTTGTGCAGTGATGCGGCCACTGCCTGGGACTGTTGTGGTGAAGAGGGAGCAGAAGTCCTCACCTTTGCTCATGAGTTTTGGATAATGACCAAAAGCACAAGATAGGGGCCATAATAAGTTTCCTCCAGAGTGACTGATGACTCCCCTAAAGGAGTTGTGGTTCCCAGCCCTCTTTCCTCATGCAGCCCCAAAGAGCTTAGTCAGGGCACGAGCACCTCTGTGAATCTAAAACGACCTCCAGATGTTGATTTTGGTCAGGCTTTGACAGAACTTTCTCTCGGTTTCCCTCACCAACAAAACTCTATGATGTACCCTGTGTAATATCCACGCGGACCTCATGTTGGAAAGCATTGCGGGAAATCCAGTAGAGCTCTTACTCCACCACATGGAGTGAGGGTAGTCTGTGCTCTGACTGCTGCCGCCACGACCTGGCCCTGGATGAGTGGAAGAAAATGGAGGTTTACCTTACGCTGTCAATGAGCTGCTGGTGCTCCTCTGTGATGAGGATGTCCGGCAGAGCTTCAGCTAAACTCTCCACGTCTCTGTCGGCTGCATACTGCTTCAACACTTCGAACAGGTGCTCCTTCACGTCTGTCTCCTCTCCCAACACCTCCTCCACCTAAAGCCAGAAATACACATAATGAAATACAAGTTGTCTATTTTTTCCAACAATCTTTAGGAGCCAATGGGTTTTATGAGCTGCTCAGATTCAAAGCAGAAAAGATTGAAATTAATTGTTTGTTGGTTTTAGTGAATATTGAATGATGGTTGCTCACACCTTCTTGTTAAACTCCATGGCTTTATGAGCTCGACTGTCCCTCACACTGTCTCCGCTCTGAGACACCACTCTCATGCTGCTGCTCAGGCGTTTGGGTCGGCGGGCCATGCTGAGCACGCCCAGGCGCAGAGGTCGACCTTGGGCGGCTTTGATCATGGCCGCTGCAGTTTCATGGTGTTTTACTGGGATACCGTTCACCTCCAGAACATAATCTCCAGATTTGAGACTACAGAGACCTGCTGGTCCCAGTGGGCGCACACTCCTCTACCATCAGGGGGGCTGTCTCCAACTATAGTAAAGCCGAAACGACCATCAGGGCCCGTCTGATGTCAATCTCTCAAAAACATTATTAACAAGTAATATGTTTGAAAAAATTTGAAAAGTTTGTTTTATAGAAATAGGGAAATAAAAGAAGATAACATTTATCCTTTTTTTTTTGTATTTCTTTTTTTCATCAGATTGACATCAGCCCGGCCCTGATGGTCGTTTCGGCTTTACTATAGTTGGAGACAGCCCCCTGATGGTAGAGGAGTGTGCGCCCACTGGACCAGCAGTCTCTGTATCTCAAATCTGGAGAATTATGTTCTGGAGGTGAACGGTATCCCAGATAAAACACCATGAAACTGCAGCGGCCATGATCAAAGCCGCCCCAGGTCGACCTCTGCGCCTGGGCGTGCTCAGCATGGCCCGCCGACCCAAACGCCTGAGCAGCAGCATGAGAGTGGTTTCTCAGAGCGGAGACAGTGTGAGGGACAGTCGAGCTCATAAAGCCATGGAGTTTAACAAGAAGGTGTGAGCAACCATCATTCAATATTCACTAAAACCAACAAACAATTAATTTCAATCTTTTCTGCTTTGAATCTGAGCAGCTCATAAAACCCATTGGCTCCTAAAAATTGTTGGAAAAAATAGACAACTTGTATTTCATTATGTGTATTTCTGGCTTTAGGTGGAGGAGGTGTTTTGGGAGAGGAGACAGACGTGAAGGAGCACCTGTTCGAAGTGTTGAAGCAGTATGCAGCCGACAGAGACGTGGAGAGTTTAGCTGAAGCTCTGCCGGACATCCTCATCACAGAGGAGCACCAGCAGCTCATTGACAGCGTAAGGTAAACCTCCATTTTCTTCCACTCATCCAGGGCCAGGTCGTGGCGGCAGCAGTCAGAGCACAGACTACCCTCACTCCATGTGGTGGAGTAAGAGCTCTACTGGATTTCCCGCAATGCTTTCCAACATGAGGTCCGCGTGGATATTACACAGGGTACATCATAGAGTTTTGTTGGTGAGGGAAACCGAGAGAAAGTTCTGTCCAAGCCTGACCAACAACATCTGGAGGTCGTTTTAGATTCACAGAGGTGCTCGTGCCCTGACTAAGCTCTTTGGGGCTGCATGAGGGAAAGAGGGCTGGGAACCACAACTCCTTTAGGGGAGTCATCAGTCACTCTGGAGGAAACTTATTATGGCCCCTATCTTGTGCTTTTGGTCATTATCCAAAACTCATGAGCAAAGGTGAGGACTTCTGCTCCCTCTTCACCACAACAGTCCCAGGCAGTGGCCGCATCACTGCACAAGCTGCACACGCTGCACTGATCCATCTGTCCGTCTCATGCTCCACATCTCCTCACTGTCCTGAGGAGAGGACTTGAACTCCTCCACCTGAGGAGGACAGGCTCTCCGCCCACCAGGACAGACAATACACCAGTTTTAATGGTATTTAGATAAATCTGTTTCTATTGCAAGTGCACCTGGCTCTGGGGGTTTCTGTTTCTTTCCTTAGGAAACAAAAAACAGGTGTTTATTCCTACTTTAAGTACTTCTAGGAAACACTCAATATTTCAAAAACTTTTCAAGCACTTATAAGCTTGACTAATTGAGAGACTTTGACATGTCTCATGGTCACTTGGTTTTTGTACAAGGATCCAAGAAAGTATGAAATATTTAATTTCCTCTTGCTCAGCCCAAAATCCGAAAGACAAGAGTGCTTTCCGTAGAGTTTCTCTGCCCCTCTCACTCTGGCATTCTCTCTGTTGCTCTATTTCTTCCCATTTTTCTGTCCTCCCCGCTCTCTTTGATTTTGCACTTTGGACCACATTATTAGATTCTCTTTATTCCATGTTCTCCGTATAGTGCAAGTATTGCAGTCAGATTGGTAGTAGTAGAGAATGCAGAAACAGCAGCACTCCGACACTTGTGTCGTATAAGAGGGTGAAATGCGCTGCTGCCTCAGGTAAGGACACTTTTCCCTCTGCAGTAGTGTCACTTTACTTTACAAGCCAAACTTGACATTTATATTTCACTATAGGTACAACATCTCGCTTTTCTACTGTTTAGTCTGTGCTTTCTGAAAAATATGGATTGTATTGTTTGTTTCTTAGGACCTTGAATTAATTATGCATGCGTTGTTTACTCAGTGGACCTTTCAGACTCATGTGAATCCATATTCACCTTGTTATTGTGGATATCTATTGTATGCACAGTGTTTCAGCGCCGTATACTTCCTTTATGCACATGTTTCAAAGCAGAAAGGGATCTTTTATTTTTCTGGTTTTCTTTATAGATGCCTTGAGTTTGTTTCTGCAATTAGAAAAATTCTGTTAATGATTAGATATAGGTCTATGTGGGAGTTGTAACATCACGATTAAAATCAACAAATCAACAATTAACAAACGTGAAAATTCTGGAGTTGTGCTGTGTTAAAACAAAGAAATGAGAAAGATCAGATGGACCGAGAGTCTGTCTTTGTCCCACAGATTTTTCTCACCCTCCCACCCGGCCGCGTTCTATTTATATGTAGCCTACTTCTTTTGATGAAGTCTCTTTTAGGGTTCTGAATGAAAATTAACTTTGATTTACATTAGCACAAACATGTTCTTTAATACATTTTCGTGTTATGTAAAATGATACTAATTGTTGGAAATCCCCCATTAGCCTCCTCTGTGTAATGATCAGGCATACCCATGGATATATTAGATATATGTTTACTATAAATAACACTATACTTAATAAGTACATAATAAGTACATAATCCTCTATTATGGTGTTGGCTAATTGACAATTCCAGAAGGTCCTTCGAGATAATGGTGATTATGATTATAGGCCAGAAAAGAGAGCCATTTATGCACCTTACCACTAATTAATTAAAGAATATTCATGGTTACAACATTTATGAATGTACAAAAAAATGGTCTACACAATTGTGAAAGTATAATTTTCCATAATATTTTTGTAAACAATAACATATTTTAATGAGGAGGTCAGGCAATCGCTATGGTTTTTATTTCTCTGAACATGGAGATTTTTAGTTTCCATTTATTTTGCTGTTGGAGAATTGAAATTTTTGTTCGTGTGCTTAAATTAGCTCTGTCTATAAAAAGAACACCTTTAACTGTCTGTAACCCAGTCACTGCGTGTGTGTGTGTGTGTTGTGTGTGAGTCCAGTGTGTGTGTCAATATGTCATGTGTGTGTGCATGTGTGTGTGAACTGGTGGCACTTATTGTTCTTCCCTCTCAGTCATTTTGCGAACCTGCCTAAAGAGCCCCTCTGAGACTCCTCTCTCCCTCGTCTACATCCTGATGAGGGAAAAACTCACTTTCACCATTCTCACAATAAAAATGGATGTTGCTGCGACAGGACTCACGCTGTCACCTGCCGGAGCTCCATGAATTAACTCTTGGAGGACGTTGGGACCAGGAACTGTTTTGTTCCTGATCAAGTTGAACAGCTGATGCCTGAGGATGGAAAACGCCCACCACTGTCTGCCTTCAGAGTTTGCATTAAAAAAGATTGAGCGCCTGGACCTGCATTTCATCTGTCTTTTACCAAAAATAATACAAACCAAATCGGACCAAGACTTTTGCATCCTCTGCTCTTTCTAAGGCTCAGAAAGTCATGGGAAGAGACCGGAATGTCGCCAGACGCTTTCGGTATGGTCTTTTTGATTGTTTTGATTCTACCTTCTTTTTGCATTGTCTGTTATTTGTCTGTGCTTCTAATTAGTCTAACATTTTTTGGGTGTGCCGGTCCTGTCAAAATAGTCTGAAAATAGTGATCACACAAGTCATTCATCTTTCTCTTCACGCTGTCCTTGATCCACTCCTCCTCGATTTTCCTAAATATAGCCGTTGCCCTCCTTCTATATTGAGGGCATCTGGAAGCCTACATCCAACTTAAGTGAAGAAATGTGAAAGTTTTGACAAGGATAATACCATTTTAAAACAAGAACAAAACTGAACACGATTGCGTTGGAGTTACTAATCCTGTCATCAAAACTACAAATGGCCCACTTCTGTTTGGTTTTAATTTGCTCTAACTGGGTTGTTCTGGGAAGTTTTTTTTGGCTGACATGAAAGCAACTTTCAGCTCCCAAAAGTTACACCGAACCATGGCCCTACATAGAGATCACATTTATTTAAAGAACATTTCCAAAATGGCCTATTCACATCAGTCAGGTACTTCTGGAGAGCCATCTGAAATCATTGTCTAATTAAATGTTGTTTGAGTCTATAATGTAGTATGTTGGGTTTTGCAAAAATGGAAAAATGATGATGAGAGCCCTTCCCTGTAGATACTTGACAGCCTCGTCTTGTATTGCTGAATTGAACATTTTTGAGATAGCTGTACCTGCAACTGGGAATGAGACAGGAGAAACAGTGAATCAGCTCTCTCTCCTTTCTTACGCGATAAATGTGGGCTGTTTTCTGGCTTTACCTGTCTCTGCTCACCCCTGGGACATTAGGGCTGTTTACTATTTTCAATCCCATTAAAATAATGCAGCTGGAACAATAGGAAAGAGAAAAAACAGAGTAAAGAATATGTATTTTTTTAACCTTTTGACAAATTTTATTTCAAAGATTCTTCAGGAAGGTTCTGTCACGATATTTCCCATTCTTAACATGTTCACCAGGATCGTCATCCCCAAGAAACACCGGGAGCGCTTCGATGAGGTTGTGTCTCAGAATCTGACGAGCCAAGTGAAAGGGCGCAGCTTCAGTGACCCCAGCCGCAGTCACGTTCGTCGCAGCCGTAGCGACGACGACCCAGAGCGCCTCCTTGTGTCCACCAGGGCCAGTTCAGTGCCCCGTACCCACGCAGAGGAGGGTGCTCCAGCTCCCTCCAGAGGCATGAGGAAGACCAACTACTTCTCTCATCGCTGGACACTCCGGCTCCTCAACCAACTGCAGGTCTGCCTCTAGTGGCTTTAGGGCAATGTATATGTGACCTTTGAGCATTAAATAAAGGTTATATGAGCATCATTTTTATTGCTTTGTTCAGAACTGTTAGAGTCTGCAAAGGAATATGAGTTTTGGCTTCACTCTCAGAGGGCATGCACCAGTCTGGATTGACTCTGTCATTTCTTGGTGAAGTTGGTTATGGGATTCAATTGAATGAATGAAAATTGCTAATACTTCAACCAGAGCATTATTTTTTATACAGAAGCCCAGCTGATAAGGCAGGTCTTAAACCTGGAGATCGTATTCTGTTTTTGAATAGGACTAGACATGAGGTAATTTTTGCCTGTTAAACATATATCACATAATGTACTGAGGTGGTTTCTGGTTTGTAGGACTTCCTCCCATGAGAAGGTTGTTTCCATGCTTCAGGGAAGTGGTGCTATGCCCACTCTGGTGGTGGAAGAAGGTTATCACTAACTTTCCTCTGGGCAGAGCCAGACTTGACTGGTGGCAGCGGCCCCACAGAGCGCTGCCGCTCTCCTGTGCTCAGCTCTCTGCAGTGGATCGCAGAGATCCTCCCTCCTAGTATCCTGGCCGGGTTCAGGGTCGCACCTTTGGACAGCAGTTGGAACACCTTCTGACCATCAAGGAGCGCTACACTATCTGCAAAGGTCTGGAGAATTTCTTCCAGCATAGGTAAGATTCATTTAGAATAATCTCCTGTCTGATGATTTCTAATATACTCTATTGTGTGCAGGAATGTAGACACTCTAATTGTGGACGTCATTCCAGTCCCTCGACACCCCTGCAAAGCAGGTTATCTGGCAGTTTGTTTACCAGCTCTTGACTTATGAAGAGCAAGAACATTGTCAGAACAAGATCACACGCTTCCTAGGGTTCAAAGCATCAGGTGTTGCTCACAAAAAACTTACTCAAGTGTTTTTCTCATTCTTTTCCGATTCTTTTATCAGAATACAGTATATTTTCTATCCTGCAGTTCCCCCACCTCCTCCTCCTCCTCCTCCTCCTGAAGAGGAGTCTGAGGCGGCCCCTGAGCCTCAGCGCCGCAGCAGCTCCATGAGAGTGACGGGAAACACCTACAAGAGCAGCGTGAGAGGACGCTAGCTCAGACGACCTGGCCATCGGCACACATCTGGGACCAGGTACGTTCTTTTGTTTCATTAAATGTTTACAATACTGTTAACCACAAACAATGCTTTACTTGTTCTTATTTAATTTTCATAAACCTTTTTTTCTTTATGTCTGCAGTATCTTCCAAGGATGATATGTTTGATCCCATGCTTCAGAAACAGAAAGAGCCCCCTGAGTTGTTTTTAAGCGTATCTAACGACTATATCACTCTAGGCATGCGAGGTGAGCCCAGCTCTCCGAGACGGGCATGAGGCTGGCTCCAGGAGAAAGACCGTCAGGTGATGGCACTTCTCTTCCTGAGACCCCTAACAACCTCACCAATGTATGAGAAACATTTGTGTGAAACTCATTGAATACTCAGATAAAGTCAGAAAGCCTCACTGTGTTCTTCTTACTCTGATCTTTGCAAGCTGTCAGCTGTGTACGCTGAACTAGAGAATATGTACTTGTCTAAGAAGAGATCCAAGTCTTTAAAAAGTCGCCCTCCTCCGGCCCCAGACGATGTGCCGGAGCTGGACCGTCAATCCTGCACAGCGTCACCTGCCAGCCATGGTACACACACACACACACACACACACACACAGAATTAACCAGAGCTGGTACTTCAGAAAATGTGTATATGCTATGAATCCTATAATATAACACAATACTATACTATATACTAAATATATGTACTATGGTTAATAATGGAAGAACATTTTAAGCATTGACCTTAAACATGTAGAACCTACATGTTTAAGGTCAATGGATCTATTATAATAACTTAGAAGTAGGGCTAACCAAGAGAATGTACCAAAAAAAAAAAAAACAGGTCCAGAATAGCAACGTAATCACACTTAATATGCAAACAACTGTACAGAAATAAAAATATAAAATCACAAAGTTGATATTGTGTGGCTCCTCTTGTTTTTAGAGTTGTCAACTGGCAAAATGTGAGCAGTAAAAGCAGTGAGAGATATTTGGGTTTAAAAGAATGAAATAAAAAAGGACTGATTACAGTAAAAATACTCGCTTCTGTCAGTGTGTCCAAGGGCAACTGTGGCTACAATAGTAGTTTATCACTACTGTGTATAGATTGAAAGAATAATGACTGAATGAATCTAAATTCAAGATTCAAGAATTTATTTGTCATCTGCAATAAAACCACATTGGAAAAACTGTGCAAGACTACCCCTGAATGCACCAGATAGTACACACCAGGGCTACTGCAGCGTCTTTGAGTGTCCAAAAAAAGCACCTGTATAAACCAATGTATTATTATTAAAATAAAAAATACTTTGTTGCCACCTCTGGAATCGACAGTATTTAACAACTACGCGACCGGAAGTCAACATATTACAATCAGGAATTCCATTTGTCATTTCAGGAAACGCAGCCCCATCCTCCTCTTGGGTTGAGCCCCTGTCCAGTTCCCCTTCGTCACATTTCTATCCTGGAGGAATAACCAGTCAGAACCAGTCTTGCGGTCCAATCCCTTACATCAGTCTGGACAGCCCCCCTCGCCTCCCCTCCAGAGCCTGATGACTTCCCATCCAGCCCCCCACCCCAGCGTCTCAACAAGAGGCGCTACACCTTCTCACAAGCCGCCACGCTCTGAGGACACTGACCGCTTCCTGGACGCCCTGCGCGAGCAGCTGGGACAGAAAGTGGCCATTGTTGATGATTTCCTGAACCCCGACAATGACTATGAGGAGGTGCTGCAAATTCAAATATTCATGTTTAATTGTAATTTTCCGTGTTTTCTTTTTTACAAAAATTGTGAGTGGACGACCACAATTCATTTCTATTTCCAGATATTGACTTATTTTAAAATGCCAAACCAGGAGCAAAATCCAAATTTTTTTTTGGTTTTATGAATAATACATTCAGTTTGTCCCAATCCAAAGAGTGCTATAAATATCTAAGGTTTTGAAAAATCAGACCATGGAAAACTATTTTTTTGCATACCTTTAAATGCCGGATAACCCTAGTTGACTCTTAAGGGCTGAGAGATGATTGGCTGAATCAGTAGGGTCTTCTTAGTTTGAACTTTTCTTTCCGAAAAAGTTGATACAAACATTTGTGTGAAACTAGACAGATGGATGTTTTTTTTTTTTTTTTTTTTTTTTTTAATAAAAGTAGATGGATACATTACCATCAAAACAATAATTCAGACAGACATTACAATACCACAGGTTATCATAAAAGAAAACCACCCGGCCCCCGTTCTTTACTTTCCATACAGTCCTATGCTGAACCAAACCCACACACACTTACGCAGACACTCATCACACATGAGAACAGATATTTGTCAGGCATGTGTAATAGTACCCGAGCTTTAAGGCGATTAATCTAGTGTAGCCTGTGGTTGCTGTCTGTTGTGAATGCCCACTGCTCTGAGATTCCCTCAGTCTAATGATATGTAATTGGTGTTAATGCCAGGATGTTGTGCAGATGGGATTTCCGGATGAGGAGGATGATGAAGATGTCAACGAAGAGGCAGCGGGAGACGAGGAGGGCAGCGGCGGCTTCGTGGGTCCCGAGATGAGCAGCCCGAGCGAGGTTCAGAGCAGCAGCGGCGGCGAAGACCACATGTCCTCGCTCACCTACTCCTCCTCCTCCGACCAAATCCCCCCACCGCCCATGAGCCCCCCTCCCCCTCCACCTGTCCAGTTCAACGACCTGCCTCCACCTCCACCCGCCCCACCTGCACACGGCCAGCAGCAGCAGCAGCAGCTACGGGTCAACTTCACCCCAGAGCAGTCTCCCCGATCTTACGTCCCTGTACGTCGTAAATCCGGCCCGCCTCCTCCGCCGCCACCCCGCTGCAACGTCCCACCAAAACGCCACTCTCTTCACAAAGCTCTCCCGGCAAGAGGCGAAATGCAGTCCCGTTCCACCATCAAAGAGCTGAAAGCGTACCACGAAAGACAAGGTATGGCGAGCAGCAAGCGTTCAAGAAAAGGCAGGAGGTACAACAACAAGCGTACAAAGAACGACAGGCTTACGAAGAGCAGAAGGCTTTTGAGGAGCGGCAGGCCCCTACCAGGAGAAGATTTTCTAGGAAAGACAAGCCTACGAGCAGCAGAAGGAATATGAGGAGCAGAAAGCTTTGAAAGAACAACAAATGTATCAAGAGAAACAGGCGTATGAGCGAAGGCAGCAAAGGGCCTACGAGAAAGCCTACCAAGAGCAGAGGGGCGTACGAGGAGCAGCAGGCCTTTGAAGAGCACACTCGATGCATCAGATCTATCAGAGCACCACTCCCACTGCCTGCCCAACCCACACAGAAAGTGGCCTCCCCTCTGCTCTCTCCAGCAGCTGCACCAGTCTCTGCCCCTCACTGCCCACTCCTGACGCCTTGATGCATACGCTCCACACCACAAAGTGTATATGCTGCAGCCGCAGCAGCAGCAGCAGCAGCAGCAACAACAACAGCAGCAGCAGATTACCTCATGCACAGAAGACTTTCCCGCTCTGCGACCTCTCTCCAAACCCACCAAACCCCAGTCATGGGACACATGCAACAGGGCAAGGGCATGTACACCGAGGGTATCTACCAGAGCCACCAAGGGCCTAGAGCGTCGTCCCACCACCCACTCTTCCACAGCGATGCTGAACCAGATGCACCGGTCCACAGCCTCACCACTCGTCCATAGAGATGCTTCATCAGATGCAGCAGCTAGCTCCAAAGCCACCACCCACCAGCTGAGGTCAGTCGAATAAAACACAAGGAAAAGTGGGTTCCGCATAACATAGGCACACCTACAATGAATAATTTCTAGTTTTGAAAGTACAATAAGTTTGTACATTTGTTTTTCTTATTACATACTGTATATAACAAAACATAATATTAGGTAGAAAAATAAAGGGGGACAGGACAGGACAGGAACTTCTTGCGAGTTCTCAAGCAACTTATGATTTTATATATTTATAGTATCTCTAATTGCACAAGCGTGAGAATATCATCATATAATCTCACTCCCTACTGAGCAAAACCACAAGTTTTTCAACCAAAAACCTCGGATCCAACTTGATTACATCTGAGCAAACAGACCGAGACATGTTAAGTGGCGGATAAACATTATGGCCAAATATAGCTGTAATTTAAAAACATGGATGAGACAGCTTGTCGTTGTCCCATTATACGGCGATTCCCTGGGGTCCTGGGTTGCACTGCGCTGTCACTATTGAAGAAGTCGGGCAGTTTGTTTGACTTTGACACGTTCATGTCTTCCCCGCGGTGAATAGCTGGACAGGGTTCAAACAACTCGCCTCCTTCTCTCACAGTTGTCCGGGGTTCGACTCAGCATTTCTACTCCAAGCCAAAAAACACAAGTCTGTATAAACGCCTATAGACTATTTGTGAGTATTATTTGGTGTGTCTGCAGTGTCTTCAGCACACTCACTACCCCTCACCAAAATGAGATCCTCCATCAAATGCATAAAGCTAAGGTCCACACTCGTCTTGCTGAGCTGCTCACCAGATTCAGCCTCACCACTCCTCCTCTGAGCTCCTCCACCAGACCCCCCACACGCACAACGGCTCCACCGAGCTGCTGTTCACCAAACCAGACCCACCTCTGCCCCCCGTTCACCTGAGCCGGGACAGCCACTTCGCACCAGAGCCGGCGCAGGTGAAAGGACAGCATCAAGCTCCGCCTCCACAAGTCCACAGCATAACCCCCAGCCCAGCAAACCCTCCCCTCAGAGACCTCACTCCGTCCAGCAAACTCACCACCAGATCCAGCACATACATCACATGACCCCACAGCCGCCATCGCAGGATCACCCTCACCAGATCCACGTCATTCACCCGCCACAGCAACAACAGCATAGGCCTCAGCCGCTGCTTTCAACTTTCCAACCTCTCCAGCCCACCCCGCCCCCGCTGTCTCACCCAAGCTTCCAGCCGGTCATGAGCCAGGCAGCCAATCAGATCGGTCGGCCTCAGTCTCAGCCCTCTCATCACCTGCTCCACTCCCAGCCTCCACCTTCAGCCCACCATCACAAACTGCAGAATCCCCACAGTGACAGTCGGCAGCCTCAGTCTCTGCCCCACTCGCTGTCTGATCCGGAGCGTCTCGACCCCCCGGCTCCTCCGCCGTTGCCCCCTCCTTGCTCTCCCCCTCCTCTGCCCCGTCCCAGTCTGTCCCGGATGGACTCACATCATCTGAGCGTCAAGAGGCTGCGCTGGGAGCAGGTGGAGAACTCAGAGGCACAATATCGGGGACAGGTAACACCATCATGTTCTATGTTCCTAAACTGCATTCTAACCTGTTGCTGTCCACGTTCAGCTTGGGGCAAGTTCAGACTATGATAAACTGCATGACATCGGTAAAGTATCTGGACCTAGAGCTTCACTTTGGACCACAGAAGAACTCAGTTGGTGTATGGCAAACTGAAAAACAACGAGCTAGCATAATTCTTCAATATCACTCTGTCAAGGATGATCGAATTGAACCTTCTCTGTTCTTAGCACCTGCCCCAGAATCCGCTCCTCAGCCTGAAGCCACAAAAACAAAAGATGTGGTTCAAATACTATCCCATAAAAAAGCTTACAATGTCTGTGAGTAAAGTGTAATGTGCACAGTGGCTGGACTCACGTATTACACTTGTTAAAGACACACATTTTAAACAGAGGTTATTTCAGCAATCCTGAGCGCACACCTGAAGCTGTGTCCTGGAGAGCTGCACAAGTGCTGCTGGAGGATGACCTCTGATCGTCTGGAGCCGTCCCACATCAAACAGCTGCTTCTGTACAGCCCTGACCAAGACGAGCTGCACAAGTATGAAGAGTACAGGCAGAACCCCGGCAAACTGAGTGAGCCCGACCAGTTTGTGCTGCAGGTAAATATCCCACTACTGAACAAAGAACATGACATACTAATTATGTTGTTTGAACTTGGTCCTCAGATGTTGTCAGTGCCAGAGTACAAAACACGTCTGCAGTGTCTCCTCTTCAAGTGCACTCTGCCGGAGAAGATCGAAGAGCTGAAAGGAGCTTATGAGTGTACTTATAATGCTTCTATGGAGCTAAAAACTAGCAAGAAGCTCGCCAAGATACTTGAGGTACACCTTTTATGCATAGGTATTGAGAGGGTATTTTGCGAAATATCCCCCTTTTAAAAAAATGTTTTTTTGTTGTTGTTTACTTCTAGTTTGTGCTGGCTATGGGGAATTACTTGAATAACAGCCAACCTAAAACCAACAAGACGACCGGCTTCAAGATCAATTTTTTAACTGAGGTACAATTGCAAATAATGAAATGAATTGATATATCACATACAGTGTGACCCGCTCTTCACAGCTGAGCACCACCAAAACAGTGATGGGAAATCCACCTTTCCTGCACATACTTGTCAAGTCTTTATGCCAACACTTTCCCGAAGTGTTGGATTTTTCCAAAGATCTCACAATGGTTCCACTTGCAGCAAAAGGTAACTGTAGTAAAATATTTACGCTTTCCATAAATCCTATAAATGGGTGTGTTTATTGCTTCATGTATGACGTTAGTTAACCAAAAGAGTCTTGCATCAGACCCTGAACGACCTCCATTCAACAATCCAGGACATCCGCAGCGCCTGTCAAAAGATGCCCACTACTGCGGAGGATCGCTTTGCAGTGGTCATGAGTGTATCCTTTTTGTGTCAGTGATCAAACAGAAAAGTATGAAAGAAGAAATATCGGCGTCCTTGACAGAAACGTGTGGACCAGAACTTTCTTGAGCAACAGTCATCCTTTGCGCTCCAGTCTGTGGAGTCGTTACAACAGAGGTCTGTGGAGGAGTTCCTCAAAACGGCCTCTTACTTTGGAGAAGACGGGAAATCCACCAGCTCAGAGGCCTTCTTTGGCATCTTTGCGGAATTCATATCAAAGTTCGAGGCGAGTTGATAACGTCTAATCCTAAACCTAATCCATGACAGACGGTTGTCCAGTTTAAAGTCATGATTGTTGTAACACGCTGCTCTGTCTGCTCCACAGAGAGCTCTCAGTGATCAGCAAAGTGAGTCCACGCGTCACTCAAAGTTCAGAGCAACTGTTGTGGTGCTGTCTCTCTTAAATGCAAAAGGCGCTTTTGGGACCACGCCCCCATCCAGGTGACGCAGAGTTCTACTCACCCGAGCGGCCAATTTTTGTAGTTATAAGCACAAATATCTATTATCTCATAGAAACTTTCTCATGAATCGCAAACATGAAGATGGCCTTCCTCTTTGACTGGAATGCAAATGTTAATTTTCGTTTCTCTTTAGTCCTGTCTTTTTTATCGACTCTTCTCTTTTTAGCGTTGGGATGCGCACAGTCTTTGGATGCTCACACGCCGGTTTGTTTACAACAGCGGCCGCCTGGCGCAGGGCCCCTCCCCCCCTAGGTCGCAGGTGATGTCGCACTACGTGACGGAAATGTTTTAAGTATTGAATATTCTTACTGCACAATGTACAGTTTTAAAAACTTTGAGAACGTTTTTCCTTTACAGAAGGAAAGAGACCGCATGCGGTCGGAGCCGAAGGTTCGAGCTCCTAGTTTATAACAGTATGTGGAAGCTTATGTAGAAGCAGTGTATTCTCCATCAAGTGGGGTCCGCGGCCCCTGGTGGGCCGCGGGGTTACTGGCAGGGGGCCGCAGGAGGTCATAAAAAAAATAAATTTATATATATATATATATAATTATTTATTGTTAAATTTATAAATGTTTTGTTGGTAATATTAAAATTTTTGTGTTCATTTATTTGACTTGAATAAGCCACGGTAATATTTTTGGATTAAAATGTTTGTCGCAGAGGCTATTTCCCCAAAAATTCATAATAAAATAACCAGAAGTAGCCTATTCTTAATGTTGTCTGTGTGGTGTTTTATTTTGGTGGGGCCACGCAGGACCCGTCAGATTTTTAAGGGGGCCTCGGTGTTACTGAGTTTGGAATGGTGCTGTAGAGATCAGGATATGTGCAGTTTCAACAATAAAATAAAATGCAAATTGGCTACATTGTACAAGAGGGGTAAGGACATGTATCAGAGTGAGGGAGGTGACACAGACAACACTATTGTTTGTTACAGGGAATGTCGAATTGGTCAAAAAGACTGAATTTACATATTGTAAGCCATTTTGCTGGCTCTAATCTGTCTCATTTGTCACAACATATTACTTTTGCTTTTCGGCTACAAACATGAACTTTTTATTCAATGCAAAATTTGTAGGATCAGAGCTTTATTTAGGGCGTTTTATCGCGCTTCAAGAGGAGAGGGAGCGCGCGGACTGTTTTGCTGCAGCTGTGTATTTTTTGGGTGAACAGGAGTACTCAAAAGACACGCATGGTGCCTGTTGCGCGTAGATGGGGTTGGGTACATGGCCCGTTGAGGTTGCACGCTCTGCCACAACAACGGTGGAGCGGCCGAGCGGGATGGACCCTCACAGCCTCCGCAGTCAGCAACATTCCACCGTGTTGTGGCTGAGGTGCAGCCTCAACGTGGCCATGTACCCAACCCCATAACGCGCACAGGGACCATGCGGGTCTTTGAGTATTCTGTGCACCCATTAATATACAACTGCTGCAGGGAAACAGTCCGCCGTCTCCCCTCTCCTATTGAGAGCTTGCGATTAAAGCCACTCAATAAAGCTCTGATTCTTACATTTTGCATGAAATAAAAAGTTCATGTTTGAGCCAAAAGTAATTTGTTGTGAACAAATTAGACAGTTTTAGTGCCAGCAAATGGCTGACAATATGTATTTCAGTCTTTTTTGACAATTCTACTTACCATGTAACACAAACAATAGGGTTGTTATGTTGCGCAACATCTCATCGAGACTTGTTCACCATTACCCTGTTTGTAATGTGAGACTATTGCATTTTATTTTATTGTGGAAACTGCACATATCCTGATCCTCTACAGCAGCCATTTCCAATCTCAGTAACACCGCAGGCCCCCTTAAAAACGCTGGACGGGGTCTGGGGTGCGTGGCCCACAAAATAATAACCAAGAGAACTAACATATAAGAATTGGCTCTTATGGTTATTTTATTTTGGGAAATAGCCTATGGGCTACAACATAGTAATACTCAAAACAATGATTACAGGGATTATTCAAGTCAATAATGAACACAAATATTTTAATATTACAAAAGCAAAAACATTATAAATTTAACATTAATAATTATATATATATATATATATAATTTTTTTTGTTTAATGACCTCCCGCGGCCCAACCTGCAGTACCCTCGCGGCCACCAGGGCGAGACTGCGGACCAACTTTGGGAGACAATGCTCTACATTCAGCTTACCACATACTGTTAAAATAAACTGAGGAGTCGCGGCAACCTGCGGGCTCCGGTTTTCTGTTTAGGCGCTATGCTGTCTCTTTCCTTCTGTAGAAGGAAAAAACGTTCTCAAAGTTTTTAAATGCTGTAAAATTGTGCATAAGTAATATTCATATTAACATTTTCCGTCCAACGTAGTGCGTCATTTCTGCGACGTTGGCCCCGCGCCAGGCAGGCGCTGTTGTAACAAACCGGCGTGATATCGGCTAGTGAGCATACATAGACTGTGCGCATCCAAAGCTAATACAAGAGAAGAGTCGATAATAAGACTGGACTAAGAATGAAAATTAACATTTGCTTTCAGTCAATGAGGAAGGCTCTGCTTCCATGTTTGAGTGGTTGTAATGAGAAGTTTCTATGAGATTTATTGTATTTGTGCTTAGTAACTACATAAATGGTGCGCTCGGGTTTTGGGTGGAGTTGTACCTGTGTTCACCCTGGAGGGAGGCGTGCGTCAAAAGCGCCTTCATTTGCATTTTATGATGAAAGCACCATAAAACAGGTTGCTCTCTGACGACACTCAGAGAAGGTGTAGTGAGAATGCCTAGTGGACGCTACATATAATGAGACTCAGATCCCGGCATGCATGTTACGCTTTCTTTAGGCCCACAAATTGATGATTTAGATGTAAAAAGCATATTATTTGAAAACACGATATGTAACTTTAAGTTCAAATAAGGAGTTTCATTTTTAACATATAATAATCAGTATTATTGGTTACAAAATCCACGAAAATCTAACCAAACAATGAGTGCGACCGCCAATTGTTAAGGATAAATGAAAACATGTATAACCACAGTTTGCACGAAAAGTTATTGCACAATATAGGCACCAGGAACACGGATGTAGCTCGGAACGTGTGGTTTGCTGTTCTGGATTCAATCTTTGACAGTCCACCTTTCAAACATCGCACAAAAACGCAATTGCCTCATCAGAGTTATCATACACGTCGGTTCCTCGGACTGTTCATAAAAGATCATTTTAGATCTCGATTTAATAATATTTGAACTGAGAAGAGAGAGCGGTTTTTTCAACATGGTTTTTTAGTATAAACATTAAATATGTATGAAAACATTAGTTTATGCAACACAGATAATTGTTTATTTTTGGTTTCAAGTCCAATCAGACCAGTTAACGTTTTGCCTTTAAGATGCAATACATATTAGAAATATACACTTTCCATCCACAGGGGCCCACCAACCAACGGTCTGGTTTTAGTCTGGTTTAGTAATTGTTTATGTTCTGGTTTAATGATGGTTTTAGTCTGGTTTAGGATCACACACACGCGCGCTTTAGTCTGTTATATTCTGTTCGTAGTTGGTTTAGTCTGGTTTAGTTCTGGTTTAGTCTGGTGTGTGCTGATTTGGTCTGTTTTGTCTGGTTATTAGACTGGTTTAGTCTGGTTTAGTCTGGTTTAGTCTGTTTAGTCCTGGTTCTCAGTTGCAGGGTGCTCATGGTCCTTCAGCTCCAAGCTGTAATTACCCAGTTATTTACGAATAGATCCATGGTTCATGTTTCACGGGGTCAGCACTAGATCATATACGGAATCGGGGCGGAAGCGGAAGTAAATATTACAAATTAACTATTAATGCCTAAACTTAAACCAGCTATTCAATAAAATAACCCCAACCAGCCTTAACCCATAACCTCTAACTTCTTTGACTCAAGACGCTCTAAAACTTAAAACAGTCACCACTTAAGGACATATTTGTCTTAATAACTAATTCGAAAGTACGAGTGTTAACTTCCGGGTTTCGTCCTGGATTCCGTTTATGATCTAGTGCCGACCTTGTCACTGTGTTTTGTTGTTCAGTTGGCTGGCGTCAGTATAATCGGTCCGTCTGAACTCATCCAGTGAGATATGTTACGTCGGTGCAAATATAATACTGATTAAATTGGTCCATTTTTTAACGCACACATTTTGTGTAATTAATTATTCTTAATGAAACTTGTTAAAGTCCCGGCCCCCTCAGCTTAAAACATCAGTTGTATCTTTGAAGTTCCATGGTAAGTGGTACTATAAATGTGAGAAACTTATGTGAACTAATATAATTCATGAGCTAAGACATTAACTGTAACAGTGTTTGTGTGAATAATTTATAATATTTATGTGTGTTTGCAGTTTCTATGAAACAGCTTTAGTGTGGTAGGGTGTTTCTGTGCAGTGAACTGACCTGAGTGTCTCAGTCGACAGTTGGTTTCTCTGTTAGAAAAAACCACACAGATCAGACCTGGCTGGAATCAGACAGATCGGTTCAGAATCAGGTCCAGGATGTGAGATGTGGGGGGTTGACTCCAAAGCTGAGGCCTCAGAGGAACAGCTGTTCTCTGATCCAAAACACAGTTCCGACAACCTGAATAAAGAAAACATGATGAGTACATGAGCTCGTGGTATCTTATAGACGTAACGATAGACATAGCTGTATGGAATTGCTGCGTTGACTTTGATATTCTGGAGGACTGAATCATGTTTCATAAGGTTTTATAAGAAGAATGATACACACGTCGTCATGATTAAACCATCAGAGCAATTGCACAGTACGTCTCCTTTTAAGTATTAAAAACCCATTGTCACACACC